TAGAACAAGGGATAGGATCAATACAATTTTGGCTAGTAAGCTTTGATCTGTGACAAAAAAAAAAGTTTTAAAATTTGTTTCTTCAGTTTTAATCTGTATTTTGCTCCATGAATAATCTAAATTAATGTATTATATGTGACTATATAACTTATGTTGATCAATAATAAATCAAATGGTAATAAGAAAAATTATTAAAAAAAAACAAAATTTGGTGATATTTTATGCCATGTGTCACGCATTCTCTATAGTATACACTTACTTGTAGTTTCACTGTACGGTATTATGGATATTTGGGCAACGACGAAGAACGGAAAAAGAGTAGAGTTGGTTGTAATCCAATCTATAGGAATAAGTAACACAATTTTTTGCTTATAAGCTTTGTTTTGTGACCTATTTTTTTGTTTTAAATTTGTTTTTTCAATTTTAATGTATATTTTGATTTCTTTCAGTTAATGTATCCCTATTTTTTATGTGACTAAATACCTTTTGTTGTTCAATACTCTATCTATTTATAAATAAGCGTCTTTAAAGATTTTGACACATATATTAAGAATTTGTTTTATCTTTTTTTAAAAAATATAATTTACAAATTTCTTTATTGATCAATACATTAAATCAATAAAGATAAAACAAAAGTTTTCTCAAAAATCTGCACTAAAAATGTAAAACGTGGTATATCACGGAACGATTTGTTTTCTAAAATTTATGATTTTTAAAATTTTATGATTATATATAAAAGTTTGCAAATTAAATCATTTTTAAGACATTTCTATTTTTTATTTTTATACAATCTTAACTAAATCATGCTAATTCGATATGTCTAATATTGATGGTGTTAAAAATAATAAAAAGGGGTTTTAACTCAAATGAAGTAGCATGTTGATGATATTTTAAAATTTTATTAATATTAACTTTGTCCCGCCATATAATATGTCCTCTCTTATTTAAAAAATTTTATATGTTTTTTTATTATTCCTAATATTATAAAATTTTTACTGGTTTGATAATATATCAATTATAATATTCAAAACTTTTTAAGAGATTTAAATTACTTTATCCAGTAAAATTAAATAGTTTAACTAAAAAACGAATAAAACCGTATACAAATTTTTAAATTTAAATGCTTGTTAAAATAAGCTTTCTGCTTATTCAAATTTGGATTTATTTTAATTTTATTTATAGTATGAATTGGAATCATTATCAAAACGTTTTAGACGATGTGGGACGTTGAATACATCTTTTTATCAATTGTGTAATATATGTCCGCTTTAATTTTTTTTAATCACAACATATGTAGAATTTTTTTTTGTTTTTGTCAACTGGATTTGGATTAAAGATATGATTGATTGTTACAACACATACCAACAAAGGCCTAAGAACCACATTAACCAAGCCACATCTTCACAGAGAGGGCATATACAAAAGAATATGCTCACATACTGAGCCATAAACGCAAAAACTTAACTTCAATCAGAGGACGAGATCCTTTCTTCATTAAACACACCATCGAGGCAAGCTGGATGAGACACATCCACATAAGATTGGAGTCTGCAATCATCAGTGATACTCTTCGCAATAAGAAAGGCTCCTCTGTTTGAAGAAAAATTTTCCAAGACCGAAAAGAGCTTAGAACTTGACCAAGAACCATAGACTGGTATCTAAAGGACGGCCAAGCAGCAGGTCGAGAAATCACATTCACCAAAAACTCCTCCTGCAATTTATACACATCGATGCGACGAACGTAAAGAGAAGTTTTGGGGACAAAGATATATCACATATCTAATTTGTTCAAAGGTAAAATATACACATCGATGGTAGAATTTTTGTTAACTTATGTATTATATTATGATTCAAAACAATTAAAAAGAATCAAACAAAGATTATAAGAGAATTATAATTTTAAATCGTAACTATATCTTTTAAATATTTATTACTAAATATTAAATATTATATGAACGTTTTTATTTTATAATTAATGTTAAAAAAATTAATTATGTTTGGTTATATAGATAGTATAAACAATGATATTTTTTATAAATAGTCTAGAAAATAAAGAGTTTTCTCTAAAATGTACTTAAAAAAAATGTATAGATAGATATTTATTAAAAAAAATTGATGTTCAACTTAATTTAAAATAGAGAAAGTAGTTTATTAGAGATTGGAGATTTTATTCTGCCACGTATCTTAATCTCCAGATTTATGCTTATATTGTTACCGTACGGTATTGTGGATAGGGTCAATATTATTTATAGCTTGACTCTACGGTAGTGTAGATGTACACGCTTAGTATCGTTTAACTGTACGAGGAAGATCGAAGAAAAGAGTAAAATTGGTTGGAATCCAAATACTCTAAATAAGTAACACAATGTTTGCTAATAAATTTACATTTGTGATAGATTTTTTTTTTTACAATTTGTTTCTTCAATATTATAGTGTATTTCTATTCTTCAACTAATGAATCCTGATCTTATTATATAAAGTATGGTTTTCAAAGTTAATAACTCACGAGATCGTGACACATGTCAAATTTTTCGATCTGAGATTTTGACATGTGTCAAATAAATTTTTCCTTTTAAAAAGAAAAAAAAAAGTAAAAAGATAATTATAAAAAAATTATAAATTTAAACAGTTTTAAAATGTAAAAAGCTAATTATAAGGAAATTATACATATATTTCCATAAGAGTTTTTCCATCTAGCAAGCAAAATTTTTGTTTTTAGAAAGCTAATTATAAAGAAATTGTACATATATTTCCATAAGAGTTTTTCGAACAAAAAGATTTAAAAATAGAAAAAAAAATCAAAAAAATTATACAATCAATTATTAATCCTATAAGAAAAAAGATTTTAAATAGTCACATTTAGATAATTATAAAAAAAAAAATTATTTTTAAACAGTTTTAAAATGTAAAAAGTTAATTATAAAGAAATTGTACATATATTTCCATAAGAGTTTTTGCCATCTAGCAAACAAAATTTTTGTTTGTAGTAAGCTAATTATAAAGAAATTGTACATATATTTCCATAAGAGTTTTTCCAAGAAATATTTTTTAAAATAGAACAAAAAATTAAGAAAATTATACAATCAATTATTAATCCTATAAGAAAAAGGAATGTAAATAGTCACCTTTAAATAAACAAATAGATTGTCTCATATTTTCTCATCAAGCAAACTAATTTCTTAACGATGTTATATCATATCAATTATAAAAAAATATTTTGAATCACGATGTTTTTCTAAAAATAGCATGTGATATTCAGATCTAATGAATATATGGCAATTGAGGCAAATTAATAATGATGAACGGCGATAGACATAGACTAGAGTTATTGTCGGAGAGCCTTGGTCCAATGTCGGAGGAGATAAAGAAGGTGGAGTAATAAGAGAAGTTGGGAAAGAGGATAAGAGACGGTAAGTAATGTTGGTGTTGATGATGGTGGTTCAAGCTTGGTGGTGGTAGCGGCGGTAAATATTGATGAAGGTGGTGAGTCAGAATTAACGAGATTCGGTATTGTTGGTGGTGGTGATTGTGATAGTAGTGAGATTTAGTTGTGGTGGTGGGTCAGAGTAGTGAGCCCGGTGGTGATGCCCGACAAATGCGAGAAATGTAGATAGGGAAAAAAAATAAAGATATGGTGGTGAAGAAATCCGACGGAGAGAGAGAAAGAGAAAGAAAGAGGAGTTCGAACAAAAATAAGAGAAATCTAATGAGAGAAACATAGAGATTTGAAAATTAGAAAGAAGAGAAAACGAAGAAACTAATAATTTGAGCCAAAAAAATGACAAAAGCCATGTAGCAAATAGATAATGTTTAGTCTGATGTTATTTTTAAAAAAACATTTAGTCTGAAGTTATTTAGTGTATATTCTCTAATTCCTTATAAAGTTTTCTCTTTTTATTGAGGATATTTCATATTACCAAGTAAAGTTACATGACATGGATATAGACGGTCTCATATTTTCTCTTCTTTTATTGTCACAATTTTATTATGACGTCAAACTTTTCTAAACAAAATCATATATTTACGTATCTCATACTATATGTTTACATATTATACATATATCGTTCATATATTTACGTAACTATATAGTTTTATCTTTTTTTATTGTCATAGTTTTATTTCCATCTTGCTCACATTGAAATTATAAGATGTGACACACTCTTCTGATGGATGTAAATAACTTATTAAAATTCAATAATACAACATATGAATATTTATGACTTCATAACTTATAACAAGTAGGCATGACCAAAAGCTAACCGTAACCGTATTTCGGACCGTAACCGGACCGTTTCTCAACCGTAACCGTATAAAACGGTTAATAACCGTAACCGTTAACCGTAAAAATAAATTAGTTACGGTTAAAAAATATACTAACCGTAACCGTTAATTAACCGTAAACGTATCAAAACCGTTAGTTAACCGTACGGTTAACCGTGCGGTTAACCGTATAGTTAACCGTGCAGTTAAAACCTAAAATACATAATTATTTCACTAAAACAGTGTCTTAAATGGTTCAATGCGCCCCACTATTAAATTTAAACCACTCCACTCGTCCACTACTCATTTTCCACAAATCAAATCATAAATAATTTACAAGTTATTATTTTCTCCTGTAATCGTTTCTTAATTCTCGTAACATCCTTTCTATAGTATTGTTTGGAATACGTATTGTCAATAAAATAATAACTCAATCATTATAATTATTACCATTGATTTAGTTATTCGTTGGTTTACTTAACAGAACAAAATAGCTAATTAACTATAAATATTAAAGTACATAATTACATATATTATATATTATAAAATATATTATATATTGTAAAATATATATTATTTAATATATCATCATTAAAATTTTTATTCTAAAAGTTAAAAATACCTAAGTTTTTATCTTTGATATTAACCGTATCGTAATAATTAAATAACCGTAACCGTATTTAACCGTAACCGTTGTAACCGTAACCGTATTTAACCGTAACCGTTTTAACCGTATATATAACGGTTAAGGTTACAGTTAGAGAAATTTTATAACCGTAACCGGAGGTTAATAAACCGTAACCGCAATAACCGTATATATAACGGTTAAGGTTACGGTTAGAGAAATTTTATAACCGTAACCGGAGGTTAATAAACCGTAACCGCAATAACCGTAACCGTGGTCATGCCTAATAACAAGCAAAGAATTATATAATTTTATAAATAGGCCAACATTTATATTAGATAATTTAATAATTAGTATAACATAACTACAAATAATGTTTTATATTGCGCATTATGCTAATAAATCTATATTTAGAAATAATTATGCTGCATTTTCTAAAATATATATGTTTAGAATTTTAGTAATTAAGCTTAAAAAAATAAAATAAAAATATTAAGAATGATAATCTCGACTCGCAACCCGTGCAAAGCACGGGTCCATATCTAGTTTTTTATGTGACTTTGTTGATTAATATTTCATCCTCTTATAAATAAGTATCTTTTAAAATTTTGACATATATATTAAAAGATTGTTTTATCCTATATTAATATTCTTTACAAATAATTTTATTTGTATTTTTTCGTTCAAAATTTTATTGGTTAATACATTAATCGGTGAAGATAAAACTGTAATTTTTATAAAAAAAATCTGCATTAAAAATGGAAAACAATACTTATTCTAAAATAAAATTATTTATGTTTTAAAAAGATATTTAATTTGAAAACGGAGGAAACAATAAATTAAATGCTAACAAAAAAAATTGAAAAAACAAAAAAAAATAAAACTGGAGATTTGTTCTCAAATACTCAATTAGAATATTAGATGTTAAAAAGAAATAACAAACAAAAAGATTTTTTTCTGCGACGTGTCACAATCTCCGGTTTTTTAATTTATATATTGTTTTCACCGTACGGATTTGTGGATAGGGTCAAGATTTTCATAACTTTACCGTAGTTAGTATTGACCCAACCATGGTTAAAATAAAGCAGTTTATAACACAGAAACACATCTCTCTTCTCTAGACTCGCACAACAAAAATGATGATCGGAGAAAATAATAACCGGCCACATCCAACGATCCATATCCCTCAATGGGATCTAATCAACGATCCAACGGCTACAATCTCTTCACCATACTCTTCCGTCAACATTAACGGCGTTAACGACTACCCACACTCTCCGTCACCGTACCTCGAATCCTTCGCTTCTCTCTTCCGTTACCTCCCGTCAAACGAGTTAACAAACGATTCCGACTCATCAAGCGGAGACGAGTCATCACCACTCACCGACTCGTTCTCCTCCGACGAGTTTCGCATGTACGAGTTCAAAATCCGACGATGCGCTCGAGGCCGATCTCATGATTGGACGGAGTGTCCGTTTGCACATCCCGGAGAAAAAGCTCGACGACGTGATCCAAGGAAGTTTCATTACTCCGGCACCGCTTGTCCTGAGTTTCGTAAAGGAAGTTGTAGAAGAGGTGATTCATGTGAGTTCGCTCATGGAGTTTTCGAGTGTTGGCTTCATCCTTCTCGTTATCGTACTCAGCCGTGTAAAGACGGAACTAGTTGCCGGAGAAGGATCTGTTTCTTCGCTCATACGACGGAGCAGTTGCGTGTTTTACCTTGTTCGTTAGATCCAGATCTTGGATTCTTCTCATCGACTTCTCCGACTTCGATTCTTGTTTCTCCTTCGTTTTCACCACCGTCGGAATCTCCGCCGCTTTCTCCGAGTACCGGTGAACTTATTGCGTCGATGAGGAAAATGCAATTGAGCGGAGGTGGTTCCTGGAGTTCTTCTCCGGTGAGATCTGGAGTTAGGTTACCTTTTTCGTCGTCTTTGCGTCCGATTAAGGAGCCGACGTGGCCGAGAATAAGAGAGTTTGAGATCGAAGAAGCTCCGGCGATGGAGTTTGTTGAATCTGGGAAGGAACTGAGAGCGGAGATGTATGCAAGACTCAGTAGAGAGAACTCACTCGGTTGAGTCGACTCGGTCGAGTCTTTGATGACGTGGCGACTCGATCTGGTTTTATTTTTTGTGAATATTTTGGAGATTTTTCAGGTGTGTAGATAAATCACGTGGCGACTCGATCTTTAGTGAGATGATGAAGGAAAAAGTTAGGATGAGGAATTGAGAGCTATTCTTCTGGATTTTGTTTCTCTCCAATTTTTAATATTTCTTGTTTTTATTTTGTTTGTTGTTTATTAATGTTTATATCATTTTGTAATTAGTTCTCAAATGTATTTGGATAATATCTTTGTTTGAGAAATGAATATTTCAGTTGTTGTTTCCTTGATATCGATTTCGTTTGTTTAATAGTCAAGGGGACAGAAATATTCAACGATGAATGAGAGAAAATAGACTATTGTGTAAAATGTTTTCTATTTATGATGTGGCATCAAATCTCCCTACAATACCTATATTTTTAAGTAAACCCATTTCCAATGGTAAACTAAATCTCACTCTGAAAAATAGACTAATGACTAGTGAATACTGTTAATTTGGAGTAAAACTTTTTCACTTAAAAAGGGGAGTGATTATTCAGATTTACTGTTTTTGATTAGTACACGAACAAGTTTATATATATGTCTTAGTTTTATATTGGGCATTTAATCAATACTGTAATAGTAGTATACTAGATTTTAACCCGCGGTACACCGCATCATGATTTAATTTTAAAGTTAGTATAAAAATATTTTGTAAATTGTATCTCGTTATAACATATTTATTTATATTATAGTTTACAATTGTTATTAAGTAACGGTATACCACGAGTCCACGAGATAATTATTAATAAATTGAGGATTTAACCCGTATTTAAGCGGTATATAAATATTGATTCAAATTCGTCCGCCATATAAATCCTTTCCGAAATATAACTCGTTCCGTAATTTCTTAACCCGTCCCGTGACTTGTTTTTATTTTAAAATTTAATGATTATTTATTATATATAAAAGTTTACAAATCATATCATTCTCTAAGATATTTATATTTTAATAAACAGAAGATTTAATATGTATTAAAGCGGCATGTTAATGATATTTTAAAATTTTATAAATATTTTTATTAAGTAACATTATACCACGGGACAATTTTTTGTTTTATACAATCTTTTCTAAATGAGACTGATTTAATATGTCTAATATTGGTGGTATTAAAAAAAATAAGGATTTAATCCGTATTGAAGCGGCGGATTAATGATATTTTAATATTTTTATTATTGTTGATTCAAAAACCCGTCACGCCAAACCCGTCCGGCCAAAAAAATCATTTATTTTATTAGTGTTGATCTTATTCATGATATGATTCTGAATCATTGTTTAAATATTTTAATCGATGTAGAACGTTGAACACACATTTTCGTCAATTGGATAATATATGTCCGTTTTTAAAATTTCGAATCACAGTATATGCAGAAAAAAAATTGATTTTTTTTTTTACTTTATGTATTATATGATGATTCAAAACAGTTAAAAACAAATCAAACAAAGATAATAGGAGAATCATAATTCTAAATCTTAATCAAATCTTCTAAATATCTAAATTATTAAATATAAAATATCCGGTGTATGAGTTGGGTTAAATATAACCCAACCCAACAAATTTTTTTATGAAGGAATTTAAAAAACGGCTCGAATATCCGATTAACCCAGAAATATTTTTACCCACCCGTCACCAAAGTGTTGCATATGGTTATCAAGTTAATTAAAATTTTAAAATGCAAAAAAGACGTATTAAATTAAAAAATATAATGACATAACAAACGATACATATTTGCCTCTTAAGGGGATTTTGTGTTATTAATGGCTTGGAGTAATACAATAAAAATAGACTATATAGCTTGCTCTTCGAGGCATAACATATTTGCCTCTTAAGTTTGTGTTAGATTCTAGAATGCACACGAGAGAGGTTGGTCCTACTTTCGTGGAGTTGTTATGTGTTAGCAAAACGTATCATTGGTATGTTTATGCCTTGAGGATTGATATATAAATCTGGAAATTTCTAGATTAGAAAAGCCAAATTTGAAATATCCAATATATAACGAACGAATAAAACATTTATGAGATAGACAGTCACACATTCATACTATCATACAGAGCTGAAAGGAGGTTCTTTAAAATTTTACATGTTAAAACAGAGCTTTAGACCACAAACATCCTTTATTGGTTTACATAGAAGGCTCAGGTCCGCGTTCATATCCTTGGGATCGCATTTTCATACTCCCCATGAGAATCAATGCTAGAGGTGCAATTGGGAAAAATCCTTAGGATGATGGATCTTACCACCATCTCCAAAAGGTAACAGTTAGAAGAAACAGTTTCGGAGTGGCCTTCCTAAGGTTTGACTATACAGACAATGCCACCACCGTACTCGAAGTCTAACGTGGGAGTGCTTGCCAAGATCTCGTCGTCGTCGAGATGGTAAATATTGTTCTTCATATTTCGTTGATTTTTTTCAATAAGGAATAAGGAAAGTTACTAACTAATACGGTTTTCTTGTAGCTTCCAATTGCGGAGAATGATTTTATAGTGGCAGTCACGAGCACATATATCAAGAGAATGATCACATCCGTCTATTTTTGGCTCCATGTTAAAAGGTGTTATTCGTTTGTTAACATTTGGGTGTTAAAGGCCAGTTGACCAAATAAAAGCAAGCAAATAAACAAAAAAAAATTTTATGCAAAATAAATAAAAAATAAGCAAAATATAAGCAAATGTACAATTTGGTTTAAGCTATGCGTTTTATAGTATTTGGTCTATAGTACGAATTAACTTCTCTACAAAAAGAAATTGCAAAAGTCTATGACTTTGGTTTGGCCCGGTCTACAGCAGAGGGCAGAGAATCAATCAGGACAAAGTGTGCCGGAACAGCTCCTTACATTGCACCATAATACACATGTATGATTTTCCTTTTATTTGTCAATATTTATATATGATCACCAATATATTTGATTATGACTGCTCAAATATTTGTAATTATAGTGACTAACTAGAATAGCTGATGTCTATAGCTTTGGGGTAATTCTCATGGACCTAGTAACATGCCAAAAAGCTATTGACGATAAGCGATATGAAGATGATCATCACATTCCCACTTGGTTCCGGAAAGTGTTCGTCGACAAAGACTCATTCGAGAAAGCCATTGACAAAACCATGGAGCTTAACGAAGAAGACCGCATAATCATCAATAATGTAGCGAAACTGGCTAATCACAGCTATGCCAAGGAACTAGCACAGAGACTAGAGATGAGCTATGTTGTCTTTCCACTTACCTCACTCACTAGGTAGTGGAAGCCCAGGGAAATCGAAGAGGACTAAGATAGGGAGCCAGCAACATCATTGTGGTGTGATGAAAATGTTAAGTTCATTTGTGTATCTCACATTGTATTAGTGAAGTATTTGTGTAGTGATACAAGACTATGGTTAGGATGATTAGGGTAGACTTAGGACATTTTAATTAATTAGTTTTGGTGTTTTCTTTTTAATTTAAAAGCAATTACGTATTTCTTTTTGACATTAGGTTTAGGGTTGGTGATTTTCTTTTTTCCCTTAGTTGTGTAAGGTCTATATAAAGACCTCTTATGATTAATAAAGAATCAACCTCCAACAATTAACCTAATTCTCTAGAAAGAGGCTTGGGTTAAAGGGAAGGTTTTGCTTAAAAACTTTGGTCCATAACATGTAGTAGTTGTGATGAATGTCGACTCTGTTTCATAAAAGAAATGTTGAATGTCCAGCGGAAACACTCGTTGATTTTAAAATAAACTGTGCTACGATTAATCTACACTAATTTAAATGATGTATAAGATATTTATTATAAAATGTTCATTACAAACATAGTTTTTACAAAAAGGCTTATACCAACCAATAAATTAACGTTAGATATAAGAACATATTTGATAAATACTGATAACTCTCGGCTCGAGTATAGTTTTTACACAAAAGCTTATACCAACCAATAATAAAAAAAAAAAGAAACTCAATAATAAAGAAAAAAAAACAGAAAAAAAAATGAAATCTTAGAGGGATGACTCCAGAATGCATATGGCCAAATTAATCCTGGTCTCCCACAAAAGATATGAGTTTCCCACTCATTTGTATGCAACTTCGTGGTGTTATAATAGGTAGCCTCTTCATGTGTATCCACCTTTTGGATCTTCTGGAAAGTGTTGGTGTCATCTACAACCTCTAAATTTTTGAAGTAGTTGTCGCTTCCGAAACCTTACTCGGAGAAACGACCGGAGCCCATTTGGGTCTTCGTGTGTCGCCCAAAACTGTAAGAATCCATGATTTCTCTACCCCAATCTATTTTCGTTGCATGATCAGCTAAAGTAGTAAAAATCTCCCGTTGCCAGCATCATACTAGTGAATTGTCGGGCCCTAAACTTAACCACCAATTTCCACTTTTTCGATCCTAGCATTTTTTGCTGTTTCTTTGTCCTTATATTCCTACTATACTACTTTTTGTGTGTGGATAAAATCACTATTTATAGCTTTTTTTATTTAAAAAAAACTTTTTAATCAACAATCATATTTACTTTTCGAACAAATGAATTCCTTTTTTCAAGAGATAATTTTTCTACACAATTTTAATTATGATAAAATTTTGAAACTTTTACTTGATTATAGTTAAGCTGTTTATTCAAACATGATTTATAATATTTTGCATGCCTTGAAACCGTGTGTCTAAAGATATTTCATTACGAGAATAAAGATAGATGGAGAGATATATTATATATGAAAAGCTAATTCTTCTTCTCCCTAGCTATCTCTGAGACTATGACTCACAATTTGACGATCACAATGTCACGATTCGATTCTGCCTTTAGATGTAAAAATTAAGATTCGATTAGCATATTTATTTTAAAACCGTTAGATAAAAATAGAGACAAAGTCGAGGCAGACTAAAATATAGTTACAAAAACAAAAATTAAGCAAAACATAAGCAAAATATAAGGCAATATTCAATTTGGATTAAATAGATGTGTTTTCTATTATTTGATTTACGATATGGATTAGACTTATCTAGAGAAACTAAACACTCAAACATGGTCTACAATATAAAGTAAATTTTCAATAAAAATCAAACATTAAACTTGATCCATTATGTAAAACAAACTGAATTTAAGCATATTTCAAGGCTGTGGATATTTTCATATTTTAAGATCTAAGTTTAGTCCATCATGAACCTAGATTTTAAGTTACAAGTTGTATGAAAAAAATATAAAGTTTTTTGGTTACATCCAACCAACAAAAGCTAGATTAAAATTTTAACAAAAACTTCAAAAATAAAGATATAAGTAAATCGAAATAAAACCTAAAATCAATTACTATTTTTAAATTTATGTTTTGGTGAGAAAACAGTATTCTGCAATTTTTCCACCAAAATTGCAATTTTACGGTTTTGGCGGTAAATTGTATACTACAATTTTGGCGGGGAAATTAAATTATGCAATTTTCCTCCAAAATTGTGAATTTATGGTTTCGGCGGGATTAAACGCAATTACACAATTTGTTTGGTTTCAATGGAACAACGGTACTCTTGATGGCAAGAAATAGAAGTCTGCAATTCTGCTATTTTCGATTTTGACGGAAAAAATTCGAGATTTACGGGTAAGATAAAAAGATAAATCCATAGAAAATTAACATGATTAAGTTACTATTGTCAATGAGGGTATTTTCTGGAAGAATCATCAGCATCGGATCGGGCTCGGGTCGGGTCCTTTCTGATTTGGTTTTTGGGTCATGAGGTTTACTTTCAGTTCGTGTATTTAAATTTTTTTGTTCAGGTTAGTTTGCTTCCTTTCGGATTCGGATTTGTCCATAAAGTTTTGAGAACCGGTGAAAACTCGAAAAAATTTGGGAGCGGTTTGGGTGGATACTTTGTACAGGAATCTATCCAAAAAGTACCAGAAATACCCGAAAGTATATGAAATACCTAAAAAATTTTACTTGTATCACCTATAATATATTCAAATTACCCGAGATACCCAAAATTATTTTTACTTATATCACCCAAATTACGTGGAAGTACCGAAATACCCAAAAAATGTAATTTTGAGTATGTGGGTTACAAATATAAATTTTACTAATATTTTTAGCATATATTTATATTTCAATTGTGTTTGGATACCCGTTCGGTTCTTGGGCCGGGTCCATTCAGATTCAAGTTTTCGGGTCTTGAGGTGTAGGTCCATTCGGGTACTTTGCCAATTTCAGTTCGGGTTTGGTATCTCATTTTCAGGTTAGGTTCAGGTCGGGTCCTAGGTCCAGGTTCTTTTGCCCAGGGCTAAGATGTAGTAAAACTTAAAGATCAATTCTCAATTTGCACACAAATCTGAACTAACTCGTATGAAAACCTACAAAAAGTAACTAAAACTCAACTATCAGTTTCACTAAAACAAAAGGAAACAGAACGGGCTTGAACGTTACTCTACCAAAATTTAAGACTGTTGGGTTTCAGACTCTCATTTTGAGTTGCAAAGTAATTAAAATCAATCTCAAAGGTCAATCAGATAAACTACCTCGCATTAGTCAATAAACCACACCTGATATGGTCTTTTTGTTTCATCAAACTATAAAGTCCCTTGCGGGAAATGGAATGGTAAGTTCCAGTATTAACCGAAGTTAATGATATAACTTTTATTGAAGAGGGGACGACACTCTCGGGTCCATACTGAACCATGGAGTTTCCAAGTTTAAAGAGGGTTTTAGTTTTTTGGTAGGGGCGATGAGACAGATTACAAAGGACCCTCATTTCCTTCAATAGTCTATCATTCTTCCTCTCAGTATAGCCTCCGCCTTACGCACTTCTTTCACCGGTCCAATCACAAATATCTGCACCAAAACCCATTTCCACAAAACACTAAATTACATCATTGGGTTCCACCAATCTCTTATTTAAAGCTAAATATTATAACTATGTTGAGATTGAGTGCCCCAATGGAATAAGACTAACCTTGTCAGGTGGACCCTTTGCCCCTCCAATTAGAATTTCCGCGCTGCTAGACAAAAAAAATCACTTGTATCATATGAGAGTCAGATATCAAATTTCTTGTTAGCACTACTACAACATGAACGAAATGGTTTATACTTGCAAGCTTCCTTGATGGCGAGGATTGATGCTCCTTTCCTTCCAATCACACGTCCCATCTTTCCTGGTGGAACATCAAGCACTGACAGGATCTCTTCTTCCAAACATTGATCTTCTGACTTCAGGTTATCTGTAACACTTAAAAGTCCAACTACAATCAGTAAACCAATCAATGTCACCTGTTTTTTTTTATCTTTCTGTCTATAGCATATACGACCTTAACGAGGAAAACTGTGTGACCACACCGATTATAAAAGAATGAAGAAATATTTTTATTTATCTTCATGACTGCTGAGAGTAACCTAATTATGTCCTGAACTACATTCTTAACGTATACACAAACCTGGAATTGGAGGGACGGTTGGCCAATCAGCAAAATCAGCATCGTTCATGCAGCAGAGACACCGACAGTACAAAGCACCACGAACTGCAAGATGCCATAGTGACCGCTGATTCAGTTTCCCCATCATTTTGTGATAGAGATACAGAAGGAAGCGGACATCATCGGCGGCTGCGCGGATCATGAGCTCAGTCATCGGCCTGTATGTCCAAAACTTTGGGTCCTAAATTTGAAAGATAAGGCAACAAAAAAAAACTCGTAATACATTCTACACATTCTGGAAGCATAATTTCAATTTAAACACTAGCAAAGATTTAGTAGAAATGTAATGAACCTGGCGCATGAGAACTCGAACTTCTTCTTTCTCTTCATAGGATATACCTAAACAGAATAAACAAAAGTAAAGTGATTGATTCACCACCACATGACAGGCAAAATGTCAATATCACTTTTTCAAGGAGCAAGATATGAACCAGAACAAGAAGTTCCAAAAAGCAGGCTCTACAGAAAACGTCGAACTTGCATAAACATTTGCTCAGCTGAAATCAGTATATTCATGCCCAGAACAAGATGCCGCGAGGATTAAATATTTAAGGTAAATCATAAATAAAAACTAACATGATAATCTAAAATGTACCGCAGTAACGTGGATCAGCAAGGAGTGAAACAAACGATATGTAATCATCTAGAGGTCTCCTCCTCCCTTCTTGTTCTTCAATCAGAGAATAAGCAATCTGTGAGCAAGAAATAGTATACAAAAATCAGGACCAAGATATCTAGGGCAGGAAATAGCCTAGGCAAGAGATTTTTCCATGTCACATAGAAAACATACCTGAGTGTCCACAACATTGTGCAACCTTATCCCAAACTGAAAGTATAAAGCCTATAGTACGAAAATTAATATAAGCGATGTTTTCATGAATTATAAATATGTCATGAGCTACAATAACAAGTAAACAAAAAGTTCAGACACCTCACTATCACGTTTGCAATCGTGAATAACTTTTGTGATGTAAGTAGACTCGAGTGCAGGCTTACAGGCTTTCATAAGCCCCTCTCCACCTTCGATGACATCAACCAAGTATATTGCATTAGAGAATGCAATCTGCCAAGACAAGATCTTCAGTAAGAATTATAAACTACCAAAATATCATGGAACAAATAATCTAAAATCTAAAATTCTATTTAAAAGGGAACCACACACAAACAAAGGTCATACCTGCATGATACAAAGTTTTCCATGTCGACAGAGGTCAACACCCTCACAGTCAAAACCAATGACCAATTTCTTTTCAGGAGAAGGGTTTAGGAAATCAGCAGGAAGTTGCAAAGGATCCGTCACTATGTGAATCGGAACTTGTGGCTCATTAGCTTCTTGTGTCAGTGACCTTCCCCCTACAGAGTGAAACTTAGACATGAGACACGACGAGATTTATGACAATATCCACTACTTGCATACACCAAATACAAACAAATGATCTAATCCAACTCTCATACATTCATCATTATACTTAATCATGCTATTCCTTAGTCCATAAGACATTAGATCAAAACCAAAATCAAACGAAAAATCGCTTAAGCACATTTTAGATCAAAAGATGTTGAACTTACTAACATATATAATTGCAAACATACTATAATAATCTAATCCAACACATACATTCATCATCATTCCGCTTAATCTCGCATCATAAATTAAACGAAAAAAACACTCGTATGAAGAAAGAAATAGCGAAGCACCTCCTTAACTTTGTACCTATACGCCACAAGAATTGAGCGAAAAATAGATGACTAAACCCACATTTCGATCAGAAACGAAGTTACGTTAACATTGAATCAGTTAATTTTCAATCAATTGATCAAAAGAGAAAAACTACAAAATTATTTGGGAGAATCTAAGGGATTTTAGCAGATCGATTACGGTAAAAAAAATTCGAAACAGCGAAGCTAATCGATCGCAAAAATTACTAGTAGCGAAGCATGGTGAAACGAACACAAAGAAAATTGAGGGATAGAGAAAGAAATCGAAGGAGAAGAAGGGACCTGGTTCAGGAGGAATCGGGACGTGAGCTAGCTGAGTTGGAGAAGACGACGCCATTTCGATCAAAGAGACGAAACAGCTCTCACAAGTTTTATTTGAGGGGAGTGTCCAGATTCACCAACGGATGGGTTCCCTAATTGAATCGGGTTTTGTAAAGAAAAAAAATAGCGATGGTATTTGGGCTTAGGATTGGGCTTGGGCTTGGCTTTCAGTTAGTAAAAAAAAAGGTTTCTATTATTAATATATATAAAATTTTGAAAAGAATTTTAAAAGTCATTGTTCATATTTTGAATCATAAAAATTATTACCTGTTACACAACAAAAAAAAAAGAAATTATCATCAGTTTTTGGAAAGAAAAAAAAAACAAATTAAATTTGAAGGAGAAAAATATAATTTTAGCTGACATGGATGTTATGTACATATTATTTACATAATCGGAAATCTGAACTTTTGTTGTGTACTTTTTATTTTCTGCGACTTGGTTTAACCCATGTTGTTTCTCTATTTTTACTACTTTTTTTTCCAATCAATAATTTGGTAATCTTCAGTCTTATGTCGTCTAATCTAATTTATGAGTTTTCTGTATTACTACTTGTCTACATTTGTCTGGCGGCTTCCTCTATTGGCATTCCTTTTCTATCGTTAAAAAAATAAAAAAATTGAAGGCCTAAAACTACTTTGGAGCAACAAAATACTACATCAAAAATTGAATCGGGTTTTGTAAAAAAAAATAGCGATGGTATTTGCCTATTTGGGCTTGGGTTTGGCTTTTCAGTTAGTAAAAAAAATATTAATGTTTTTTCTCGTTCTATTATTAATATATTAAACTAGATAAGGACCCGTCCGATGGACGGATTTAATTTTTTAAAAAGTAAAATCAAATTAAACAAAAAATTAATTAACAACGTTGTAAGTAGAAATTTTCTTTCAAAAGTAAAATATTATCAAAAACACTGTTGCATTGTTTCTTTAACCACTACAATTATTAATTCAAAATTATTTCGAATGAAAGATATATCACATAGCAATAACTCATGGTATACTTATATGAAGAACTAAAATAAAAAATATTCATCATAAAGTTGGCGAATGAAACCAAAGTGGTTTTTAGTTAGACGCGTTAAAATATAAAGAAGATAAATCAACTAAATCCCTTAGCCTTCTAAGCTAACGTTGCGGGTTCGATTCCTATATACTCGATTGCAATGACTTTATGATCAATCAATAAAAATTGATAAATTCAAAAAATTATAAGCACGATGATATATGAATCTTTTATAATTCAAATATGAACATAGAAATTTAAATAAACAATTTTAAAATAGTATAATTAAATTCAAAATATCAAAAACAAAAAAGAAGCATATATGGTTCTTACATATTCAATAATTTCAAATAATAAAATATAAAACTTTAATTAAAATCATCACATATTTCTAATTAGAAAATAAAATTGATATAAATAATGTAAATTTGTAATTTAAATCATGAAACATGTCGCTATCTAAAATCATTATAACTATGATATATTATAAATCTTATATAATTTAAACTGAAAGTAGAAACCAAAATAAATAATTTAAAGATATAACAGTTAATCTATATAAAACAAAACACAGTTAAGTAAAAAAATATTACAAAAAGGAAAAAAAAATTGATCTCTCATATTTCTAATTGAAAAAAAAACTCAAATAAATAATATGATGATTAGTTTAATTAAATCATCACATATTTCTAATTGGAAAAGAAATTGAGATAAATAATATCAAATTTTAAATTAAATCATGACACATGATAAAAATTTTGACTGATAACGGTTCATGATACTATTAATTACTAACTTTGAGAAACAAAAATATATCATATTAGTTATATAATAACATATGTTTCCTTTTTAATAAATTTGCCTGATTTTTTCTTGTTTAATTGAAATTTATATTTTTAATTATAAAAATCTTATAATTTCTTTATTATTATCTTTTGACATTTTTAAATTGTTTATAGAAATATTAATTATTACCATTATCCTTATAGTTATCTTTTACATTTTTAAAATTATTTAAATTGATAATTACTTACAATTATCTTTTTATTTTTTTAAAAGAAAATTTTTGTTTTACACGTGTCAAAATCTAAGATCGATAAATTTGCCACGTGTCACAAACCTTTGAGTTACTAACTTTGAAAATCATACTTTATATAATAAAAAGATTATGAAAAATATTTCAAAAGTCATTGTTCATATTCCAAATCATAAAGTTATTATCAGTTCTTAGAAAGAAAAAAACAAATTAAATCTGAGAGAGAGAAATATAATTTTAGATGACATGGATCGTTATGTACATATATTATTATATAACCGAAGATCTGAACTTTGTTGTGTGCTTTTTATTTTTTGGGATTTGGTTTACCCATGTTGTTTCTTTATTTTTACTATTTTGTTTCCAATCAATAATTTGGTAATTTTCAGTCTATTGTCGTCTAAACTAATTTCCGCGTTTTTTTATTACTACTTGTCTACTTTTGTCTCTCGCCTTCTTCTATTGTCATTCTTTTTCTATAGTTACCAAATTGAGATCAACAAAAGGATAAAAGCTTTCAGTCACATCAGATTTAATTGACGAATGATAGTCAGAACTTGGCGACGACATTTGACGAAAATTAATGGATGATAAAACGCATAGTTTCGTGAAAGATCTAAAACATTATTGCTTGTTTACTTATTTTTTGAGCTTAGATATGTTGTTAGGGCAATTATGATTTAGTTGGACTGTTAATTTTCGTTTTAATTATGTCATTGCAATCTATTTTGTACTAGTCTATTGGGCTTTTAAATAAAACCATTAGACTACTAAGAAAATCATAAAATTCATAAAATAAAAATAGAATTCATTGATATAATAATATGTTTATTAATGATATTATTGGGTTTTCATATTCCAAATCTATTACATAATTTGGATGGTGATTTTTGTTAAAGCAGCTCTTACAATCGATTTTGGAAGTTTAATGACGAAAACTTCATTAATGAATGAACCTAATTACGAGCTATGTCACTCTCAGTTTATTTTCTTTTCTTTTTAATTTATTTTCAAGTCTTACCTGGGTAGTAGCCAACATTTTGAATGTTGTTTTTAACAAATCTGTTGGTCTAAAATTCGTGATATTACGTCACCTGAACAAAGCTTGCACTAGCTATTTCTCTTGACTTATTGTTTTTACAACGACAGTTTAATAAATCTTATTAGGCTACTAATTATTTTTTCCAACTAACTAACTCTTCTTTTAATGTTAGAGATTTCATCTCGAGAATCTAACATACCAATTCGATCTTTTACTTCGCTAATTTCATTTTATGATATTACTTTTTCAAAAAGTATTATGTGCAATTGGTCTAGATTCGTTAAATACCAATTGACTTCGCATATATTCAATTAACATTAGAAACAAGGAAATTTTCAAGGTAATCTCTAGTGAAAAATGTTATCAACAAATTGAAGTCGCTTTTCCAACATTCACGACATAGTAATGTCGTTTGTTCCAGCATTGATTCACTTTAGCATATAAACTCGTTGTTCTCCAATGTTTGTATTTATTCTTGTTAATTGATAATTTAGGATATATCTTCATATCTGGCATTTCATCAGGTGTGCACACCTCTAACAGTCCAATTGCTTGAAAAACTTATGAGGGCAATTATATGCGATGACATTAAAGCAAATACAAGGTATGCATGAATAGATCATATAAATCTGATCTTTGTACTCATCAGGCAATTCAAGGTTACGGTCAAAATTTTAATAAAGTTGCCATGTAACCTGTGAATATATAATCAAGTATTGAGTTTACAACAAGAATACATAACCATATATAAGCAGTTTATACAGTCCTAAAGAAGTATTACCTGATTTTCCATCATGTTGTCAAGCTTGGTTTGGAAATGATTCACAAATATGTTCTTATCATTTCCTTTAGGAAATAGATTCAACCACCCCGAAAGCAAAGGAAACCCGGAAGGTAGAGAATCGATAGATAATGCTTCGCATAAACAGGAAAATTACTCCACTGCAAATATCTACAAGGAAAAAATAAAGAACAAATGTCACTTCTTTCAAATTATATTTAAGACTACCAAACATGTTTTTATGTAGCATAACATTGTATTTGTACCTATATTAGCTATTGTTTTCTTATGTTTTAAGAAACATTTTGTGTGATTTCAAAGTTAAAGAGGAGATATTCAAGTATTTATGAAATCAAGAAGTTTTATGAGTTTTATGGCAAAAAATACCAAAGAAGGTAAAATGCGTTTCGGACAGATTCGAAACTCCGAAAGGTTTTGCATCCGTTGAAGACCTTCCCTTACATCAAAATAAGAGATCTTGGACTCTATGCGGCGAACATACTCATACAATTAACGGTTGTTTTTTAGTGTCCATTGGAATGAAGCTATGTCCGAGATCGGGTACTCACCTAATTAGTAATAATGAAAACCCGTTCATAGAGCGGGTACTCACTTAGTATATATGAAAAAAGGTCAACTCTCTCCATGAGAGTGACACATCAACACATATAAGACTGCCACGTGGACCTGAAAAAAAAAACTCATTAATGGGCTATTTATTATTTAAAAAAATATTATCGTATAAAATGATTTATTATATATATATATATATATATATATATATATATATATATATATATATATATATACAAGGCCGTGTCTCAATGGAGAAAAAATAAATATTTGCTTAGGCCATCAAAATTTGGGGGAAAAATTAGGGGCATATATCTACTCTTTATAAAGTTATATAAATATGTTTTAATGGGACTTATGCTGAAAATAATGTGTTAATAATAGGAAGCAAATGTTGAGCTTCAACAATCCATTGATTTTGCCAAATGGGCTTAATTAATTAACTAAAAACACAAACAGTTACTTAAAATAATTAAGGTGTTGATGGTTTCGGTTGCGGTTTCATCTTTTGAAAGAAGTTTTTCAAATCGTATCTTCGTTCGAGTATGTCACAAGAAAGAATGAGTGACATGGGTATCTTATCCATCGAGAGAGAATTGATTAGATCGTAGATTTTGAAAGTTTAGTTAACCATTTTGTGGAGAAAATAAAAGAAAAATGTTTTAGAGCTAATCTTTTGTTTGTTAGTTTAGTTCTTTTATTTGTTTTCGTTTTATGACGATGATGTTTATTTATGTAGACGATTTTTTCTGTTGAATTGGGGCTTTTTTTTTAGTCTCTTCTGATATCGTTTAGTGTTGGCACGGTTCTCTATATATTATTTATTACATATAATTGGGCTTCTTGGCTTTATTTTGTTGCTTGTTTGTGTTTACCCAATAAAACAAGACAAAAAAAAAAAGACAAAGATGAAAACCCAATTGTATCAAATAATTTTTAAACCAATTGTATCAAATAATTTTTTTAAAAATTATTTCACAAATATTTTACAGAAATTAGAAGAGTCTCCTAACATTTTTCATTAATCTCAAACCTTCAAGATGCTTAAATTTCTCCTTTCACTATTTCATTAGAACAATGTTTCTTAGGTGTTTTAGAACGTTAACAATTACACATTGTTACCATGAAAAATTTCTCATTATTCTTCTTTAACTAATCATTAATTTAGGCTCTTATACTTCATCCACGATAATACAATCGTTTTTGCTTTTTCATATTCTTTCCTCAGGCCTTAATATTAGATATGGTCATTTAATTGTGAAATAAGTTTTCATTTAATAGATTTTAGTGGATATTTTATAAACTCCCAAAAATCAAAACAACCACTATATATACATTATTATCTACTCTCAAAATAACAAAGTGATATATAGTCTAAAGTAATCTTCCTCTATCTCACTTATAACCAAAATGTCTCTCATGAATGGTTATAATCTAAATCAATGTCACTATGTTACCTTTGACGATTTACGACTTTAATTTTCCTCTCAACATCTTGTTGGCCGAATAGTTAGAATGTGAGAAGTTCACACCGAAATACTCACCGTAAATGACCGTTATGTTTTCTTCGAAATTTTACTCTTAATGTTTGATGAGAAAGTATCATTGTATAATTATTAACATATCAATTATAAATTTTAACATCATTTTCATTTTGATACACAATATTTGATACACAATATAATCTCTCCACCAAAATCATCTTCATTATAACTATCATTTAGTATAAGGGCTATATTAATTTATATGCTCAGATTACTAAAAATTTAAGAATATATGCATGCTTTTTGTATAATTTGTTCGCTCTCATCAATTTGTATAAGTTGGACGAAAATACCCTTCCGCATGTAACATATTGTATAGCGATATAATAAAATAGATATCGACGAGATAAATATTTCAGATGGATTCCGACAATAGCTCTGGTCAAATTTCCAGTAACGAATCAACTGCAGTACTAGATAGTTAATTATTTTGTTAGATTATATCTATTATTCGTTTAATATGCTAAATAATTTGCTATCGCGATAAGTTTACATATTATATGTTAAATGAATATTTATCGATTTACAATTAAGAATCAGTGTTTTTTTATGTATGTATATATCAGTTCAATAAAAAAGATTAGTCTTTCTCTTATATGATTAACATGATAAATCATATTATATCGCGATAAGTTTACAAGTTACGTGGTAAACTAACATTTATCGTTTTAAAACATTTATTTGCGTTAACTTATACATTAGCATATTCATTTATCACGCTAATATAATTATTGCGTTTAATTTATGTTAGCATTTTATATATGTTGCTAATTAAATTGTTATCCGTACTATAGAATCGAATCCAGAAAAATGTGACAATGGTCGTTGCCGTCGACGATATCCATTCCCCTATCTTGATCGATTAACTCATCAAACCTCCAATTGGCAAATTCCTCATTGCATAATTCCGTCAAAATCTTGAACTCCGCAGCTCAATCCATTCAATTCACCATGAAATCCTTTAGCCGCCATACTCTCTTCGACGCTATTACAATTATGACCACCGCCTATAAAATTATCATTGTCGGTATCATCATCACCCATCACCACTGGTAAATTATCACCGTCGTTATATGATAAAGTATTATGTATTATGTTAAAGTAATTATTATATAGTTGATATCAACTAACATAAACATTAACATATGTATTTGTCATGATAAAGGAGATGTGATAAAAACGGAAGAAATAATAGAAGAGAAGATGAAAAAAAACTGAAAAGTAAGAACAATTAATAAAACAAGGGTAAAATGGTTCAAATTAAGTGAACAGAGTGTTTGAAATAGTAGGAGGAGAGATAACTAATTATGAAGTTTTCTATGCACGGATAGTGATATTATTCTTAGTATAACTATCATTTAATTTATAATTTCACTTACAAGAAATGTTTAGTTGATACATTAATTTTCAACCTACATATATTTTAGAAAATGATATTTATATCAATACGATTATTAATAATATATAAATATATTTTTAATGTAAAAGTTATTGTTTTTTTATATTTATGTATACTATTAGTTGATAAACATTATCTTTTTAAAAAGTATAGACTTAGAAGATATAAAAAGTATTTATTTTGACAAACAATTGTTAACATGAAATTTGAAAAAACTAAGTTTTTTTTAATATATATAAATATATACATATATATATGTTAGCTGAAAAATAAAAAAATGTTACATATTTTACTATATTCATTTCAAACACGCGTTTTACCTAGTACATTAAAACCTCTATAAATTAATAATGTTGGGACCAGCAAATTTTATTAATTTAGAGAGGTATTAATTTATCGATAAATTAATAATTATTAATTTCTAGAGAGATTTTACTAATTTTGTAATTTCTTAGAAAAATTTCTATCTAAAAATAATTTTTTTCTATATAAGTAATATCTTTTAAAAACTAATTACAAGTAGAGAAACAATTAGTAAGTTTAAAAAAACAACACAAACTTTAGAGGTTTGTAATATCTTTTAAGTATTATCTTATTAATTTATCGATTTATGTCATATTTTACACTGGTCCAAACTCGGGACCGAAAGAATTTATTAATTTAGAGAGGTTATTAATTTAAATAGTATTAATTTATAGAGGTTTTACTGTATCATTATAAATACAGAGAGAAAAAAAAACTAAAAAAGAAAAGAAAAAAAAAGCTACGCCTCTTTCATCACTTTTCACAGAGTCTCATGTCCAGTGCTTTACAAGACTTGCTCTTACTAGAGACTTCAGTGTACGAGATATCATCCCCTCTATCTTCTTCCATAGACTTAGAACACATCCTCTCTTCACCGTCAATATTGCTTGGCCCTGAACTTGAAGTATAACCACATGGTTGTGTTCTCATTTGAACAGACCTGAGTAGAGCGGTTCTCCTCAAGTCCCCCGAATGGCAGATATCGCTGGGCGATGATGGAAACCTTCCTTCTGTGTCTGATCCTCTTTGGCGCGACTGTGGTGTAGTAGTAGTAGTTGCATTGGAGATCATGGAGGTAGGACATGTATGTGAATGGTGTAAGATTGTTGATGACGGTTGTGGTGAGTTTGTTGAAGTAAGAGGTCTTTGGTATCGGTATGGTGAAACTGGACTAGTTGGGCGGCTCTCGGGTTGCGATGAGCTAGTACTTGCTGTTGCTGTTGGGTCCTCACAGAATCTCGCTTCGTCCGAGTCTTCTGACATGGGAGAATATTGTAATGATAAATCATCCCTGTGTTAAGTACGACACATCAATAAAGCTCATCAGATAGTCATGTTTGAAACTTCACAACCATATTCAACAACAAATGCTCCACTCCAGCATCTCTAATGAGCTAAAAAAAAACACTAGTACCATGAATCTTCTGGTATCAAGTTCAAACATAAATCGTGAACAAAACATTCTTCAACTCGGTTGTATACTAGTTTCCTTGTTTTTAAGCATTTATAACAACCCATTTAAAGACCACTTTGAGTACAGACTATAATCACATCCATTGCCAAAAATTAGGACTCTTGATAAAAACACAGATACGCCAAAAAGATCAAAACACAAAATCCGGGTGAGAGATTTTCAAACCTGTGATAAAGAAAGCTCTCAGACCGAGCTGGAGACTCTAACATGTTGACGGGAAGTGAGTCTCCGACTGTTAGTCCGTTTAAACTACATGCCATTATCTACGCAGAAGATGATGGCGAAATATCAGGACATTTAAACACCAAAAAAAGAAGAAAACTACAGAAGCTATTGCAATCAATATCAGAATGTGAAGCCGTAAAATTAACAGATTTGGTTAAACATCCCAAAAAGAAGGCGAATCCATTAACCTAGAAGAATCAACAAACAATAGAATTACGAAGCAAAACCGACCAGAATTTCAAAAATCAAAGAGAGAAAAACACAAACCTCGCTAAGATAACGTTTCTGAGAGCGAAGGTTATCAAGATAGACCTCATCTTCCGGATCTCTGGTTCGTTTCCCGCACGGCGACGAAACTGATATCGGAACTGGTGGCTCATTAGCTTCTTGTGTCAGTGACTTTCCTCCTGCAGAATAAAACTCAGACATGAGACAAGAGATTCATGACAATATATCTACTACTTGCATAACACAAATCTAAACTAACAATTGATAGTTTAGTACACAATCCAAATTGCAAATTGCTCATATGAACCTATAAGTTCCAAGAACAAGCGAAAATAGATGGCTAAACACACATTTCGATGAGAAATGAAGTTAAATTAAACATTTAATCGGTTTCTAATTCAATTAATTGATTCAGAGGCGCAAAACCACACAGAATTCTCTATGAGGGATAAAGCAGATAGATTACGGTAAAATTAAAACAGCGATAAGCAACGAATGATCAAAATCGAGTTAAGAATCTGGAAATTGAGGGATTGAAGAAGAAGAAGGGACCTGATTCGGGAGGAATTGAGACGTGAGTACGCTGAGTTGGAGAAGACGACGCCATTTTCGATCAAAGCAACGAAGCAGATTCAGTAACGGATGGGTCTTTAGGTTGAAGATAACCGCAACTAGAATTCTTCCTGGTTTTTTTATTTTTTTTTTTGATAAAACGAGGGCTAAGTGCTACATTGAATTTTTTTTTCTTTTCTCTTATTTTCTTTCACATATTAATTTTTAAAAACTTAAATGTAAAATATATATATTTTAGTATCTTCTTCTTTTTTTTACGTCTAGATTTATTATTTATTACAAATTATGAGAACAGTTACATAGACGATTCTACAACGAACAATTTCTTCCTACCCTTACTAGAACCACGACAGACGACACTTTCTTCTCCATGCTCTTGGCGGACACCTTCAATAATCCACGACCTGACGACACTTCTCTCTCTGCGTAGTATCCTGGCGAACGGCTATAATTGTACACATCGCTGGAGATCTCATGCACACTTGCCTCCTTTAATTTGCAAACCCTAGACCTCTTGGTGTAGAAGCATTAATTAACCATTGGTCAACCAATTGGCCAAAGGGGCTTCCACATTTTAGTATCTTCTTTATTAACTTTGTTATTGAAAAATTACAAATATATCGATAGACGATAAGCATACAGGTGATAGTTTTACAATCATACCACCAATATTTAAATTGAACGAAATAATCGAAAGTAAAATTATATGTTACTTCATTTTTAATGTAAGCCTTACACGCTAACAGATTTATCAATCTGTTAATTTTATTGATCGTCTTTGTCATCACTCTAATTTGATCTTTTTGTTTAGCTATCATCTCTTTTATGAAACTCCAATACATTTTCTGAAAATCAAAAGGTTGTGATCCATCAGTTACATCGTAAACTATACAAACATTTCCATCTTCCGTGTGAGATGATGGCATTGTTTTGGTCGTAAATATGCCCATGATAGATCCATGATCTCGATTCTCTTGTTGATGTTCTTCAAAGACCAGAAATGCAAGGTCTATATGATTTGATTTCATGGCGGCTTCCAAAGCGGTCGCCGTTTCACAACAAATCTGTGAAGATTTGTTTCAAACATTGGAAAGCCAGCAAACAGTCACGATGACCACCGAAAACTAACACAAAGCTAACAATAAATGTTATAATTGACATATCATAGGCAAAATATGCCGGAATAAATACGACGAAGCCATGAGAAATTGCATTTCGGTAAGAGACCCAACACATCCAAAGGCACATATTCACTTCCATAGATCGTCCATCATGGATGTCGAACAGAGACACTTTAAATCCATACATAATTGTTTTCTCTTATAGATCCAAAAGTGAATTAAAAATTACAAAATAGCAGAAGATATTCGGATTTAGAAATTCAGAATTTAGAGAAAATACTTTATTTAAATTAAAACAAAAAGTAGAGTAGAATTAAAGAAAATAAATGGAACCGCCGACAATTGCCGACGGCCCTAAACACAAAAATTTAGAGAATTTACATAGCCTACAAGCAAAATGTTTAATCAAATAAGACTCTAGTTTGAAAAGAAAACTAAATTAGAAGGTTTTAGTTTTGCTAGAGTATGTGTTCAAACATTGTATTTGTAATTCATATGAAAACATGCAGTTGAAATTTTTACTTCAGAATTTGATGTCGTTGATGATGGTTTCCACATTGATATTTGAAACTTCTCCATGAAGAATATCTATCAACACTTTACAATCTCATTCAAAAATGACCTTTATAACAAACGTCATTCTCCGAACATATCGAATTGCCGATAGGAATTTTGCTGCTTCCGCTTCAAAAAAGAGCTATTGATGATCCCCAATATTGAACTCCAAGATGATGTGTGTTGTTGTAGTAAGTGAATTTATGTGTTTTTAGTCCAAACTCCATATTTTTCAGGTATTCCCAAGAATTTTCATCCACCACTGTTGGTGTCGGATTCCGAATTCTCGGTTCGGAATCCAGGAGAAGATAGCCACATAACCGTCATTTTAGCATTATAGGACCCACAATTTAATGCCTGAGCCGAAATTCTTGCACATGTCAAAAAGAGCTCGTTTAAGTTTGACGGAACCTAAAGAGAGTTCGAATTCAAAGGACGATCTAAACATATAAAAGTCCGAGGACAGCTGAAGACATCAACGAATTCGAAAGTAGCGAACCGGTTGTCGTACACAGATGGACCACGAACCAAGAGAAAACCTAGGGTTCACTAAAGATAGCGGTCGGAGCTTTACATCCGCTAATACATCAGAGGTTTTTTTCCTAGTTTGTAAAAATCGATGACTCCACTCATTTGTTTCAAAAAAACAAAAAGAAAAACAGACAAGTTATCTAGCTGAAAACAATCTTATATTCTAAATTACAAAGCTTTGATTTAGAGAATTTTTAAAAACTGGTAATATATATCTATATCATTCTCTATAAACTAGAAATAAAGTCATCTTACGTATCCTAAAAGAAAACAAAAAGTGATGAATTGGATGAGGTTATGTTTTTAAGATTTATTCACTTTCTAGTTTCTTCTTCTTTAGTCTTATTACAACGACAAAAGGAGTCCACGTTGTCACGCACTTTCCGGTGGTAAAAAATGTCCAAATGGATTAAATCAATAATATCTCCAAAAGAGATCCTCTCCTTCTATCTTTTTGGGCTCCACATTCCTATCTCTTTTTGCCCCTTTCCTCTATCCTCTCTCTCTCCACAAGTCATCTTCTTCTTCCTCCTCTGAATCTCTTGTTCCTTTTTGCTCTCTCTACTTGATTCACCGACTCTTTTACTCGTTTAGCACGTTGAATCTCACTTGGGTTTTGTTTGATTTCTCTTTAGCCCCTTTTTTTTTGTTCAATTTCATTTTCTCTGATTGGTGGTGAGATCTCTATCTTAGTCGGTCCTTTGGGTTAAGCTATTTCATTTGATTGGTGGGTTTGTTTTATTGAAGCTTCTTGTTACGAAAGTTGGAGTCTTTTTCAATTTTTAGGTTAAATTATTAAGAGAAAGGGAAGATTTTTGGTGTGAAGTTAGGTTGTGATTTGTGTGATGAAGAGAGGGAAAGATGATGAGAAGATATTGGAACCAATGTTTCCTCGGCTTCATGTGAATGATGCAGATAAAGGAGGACCTAGAGCTCCTCCTAGAAACAAGATGGCTCTTTATGAGCAGCTTAGTATTCCTTCTCAGAGGTTTGGTGATCATGGAACTTTGCGTAGTAACAACACAAGCACTTTGGTTCATCCTGGACCATCTAATCAGGTATTGTTTTGGTTTTGATCATTATATAATATATAGCCTATTCTATGGTTTTGGATGTTTTATAGATTGCAAGAAAGAATAGGATTGATCAATGTTTGCTTATGGATTGAATTCTGTTGTTACTTTACTCAATTTGTTCAGGACATGGAAATAATCCTTTTTTATCCTTTTTTTCTGCAGCCTTGTGGTGTGGAAAGAAACTTATCTGCTCAACATCTTGATTCTTCAGCTGCAAACCAAGCAACTGAGAAGTTTGTCTCCCAAATGTCCTTCATGGAAAATGTGAGATCTGTGGCACAGCACGATCAGAGGAAAATGGTAAGAGAGGAAGAAGATTTCGCAGTTCCAGTATATGTTAACTCAAGAATATCTCAGAGTCATGGCAGAACCAAGAGTGGTGTTGAGAAGGAAAAACATACCCCATTGGTGGAACCTAGCTCTCGTAACTCCATTCAATTTCAAGAAGTGAATCGCACAGGCTCAAAGCAAAACGTTCGTTCAAAACATGAGGTTAGGGATCAGGTCAAGGCTAAGGCAAAGTCAGGTGGCTTTGTAATCTCTTTAGATTTATCAGTCTCAGAGGAAATTGATCTCGAAAAATCAGCATCGAGTTATGACAGAGTAAATGATTGTAATGCTTCCTTGAGACAAGAGTCTAGAAATCGGTTATACCGAGATGGTGGCGAAACTCGTTTGAAGGACACTGATAATGGAGCTGAATCTCACTTGGAAACGGAAAGTCATTCAGAAGATGGTCATGGCAGTCCTGAAGACATTGATACTGGTCGTGAATACAGCAGAAGCAGAGGATGCGCCTCTCTGCAGCAGATAAATGAAGAGGCAAGTGATGACGTTTCTGATGATTCGATGGTGGATTCTATATCCAGCATGGATGTCTCTCCCGACGACGTTGTGGGAATATTAGGTCAAAAACGTTTCTGGAGAGCAAGGAAAGCTATTGCCAAGTAAGTCACTCACTAGAAGTTTACACTTTGGTTAACTTGGTTATCTATTCCACGCTTTTTTTATCCATCTCCTTCTTTGATACCGACGTTCTTTTCTTGCAAAAAGTTAATACTTGAGTGTTGTTCCATAATTTTACTGAAACTTTCCTCTGTTCCTTTTTCCTATTTTCATGAAGGACTGTAGTAGGGCGTATTTCATTATCACCAAATTTCAAATTTCTAGAACACTTTTCTTCATTTTTTTTTTCGTACTTAATGATGCAATTGATTGCTGATATACATATATGATTATAACTCAGTTTTATATTCTGTCTCAATTTGGGAGAAGAGATTTCTGGTTTTGGCTTGAGAAGTGATGGTTCTATAGTGGAGAGGCCCCTGATTCATCCTAAAATGGTCATATTATATGTTTAGTTGTAGAGCCCTTGGTAGAATATTAACGCAGTTAATACGTTGGATCATGTTATAGCAGGGAGGGACATTCTCTGTTGACGTATATTGTGCAAGGTGCCCGCCGAGACAGTTCATGGCTTTATACTATGTCTTCTTTGCATCTGGTTGTTGGAACATGTCCCTGTCTCGGTTTGGTATTACTTTTATTCTGCACTGTCATTTTGGGCACTTTCCCTACTTGTCATTCAAGGGGTTGAACCAGGTAGGGGAATGTTTTTCTGAGGACCCTGGGATAAAAGTTTTAGTTCACCATACATAAAGCTAGCTATGAGTCTTATGACGATGCAGAATTATAGTTTCTTCTTGCTACTGCTTAAGAGTATCCTTAGTGTGGTTGTGAACTACAGAGTTTCTATCGATTTTAGACCCCGTGAGTCAAATTTTAAGGTTCATTGTACTCTTCTCCCTATGGTAAGGTATCAGGATTCATGGCCAATGCATATAACATGCTTTTCTTTTCTTACTTTTTGTTAAATACCTGAGAATCACATTTTGCAGAGGATAAGCTGCGCGGTAAGCTAGATTTCAATGAACCCGTCCCATTATGTGTCTTCAATTTCAATTACAATTTTTATTTTTTTTCTGTTGAAAGTTTTCTGGTTATCTATTGCTTTAAAGTGTCCTTGGACGCATTGATTTACTTAACTATGTATTCTTGTTTCTTTTTTCCTATCACGATTCTATTGTTCGATTACTTGTTCAACAGAAACTATATCTCTCTTTGTGACTCTTTTTATGGATCATCTTCTTGATGTGACTCTGTTTCTCATTACAGTCAACAAAGAGTATTTGCGGTTCAACTATTTGAGTTGCACAGACTAATTAAGGTAAAGTCATTCAGAAATTTCTCTTATGGATTTGTTTCTTTTCGAGCTGAAACGAACGTCTTCAACTGTGCTTTATTTCTGTAATAATCAGGTTCAAAAACTTATTGCTGCATCACCGGATCTCTTGCTCGATGAGATCAATTTTCTTGGAAAAGTTTCTGCTAAAAGCTATCCAGTGAAGAAGCTCCTACCATCAGAATTTCTGGTAAAGCCTCCTCTACCACATGTTGTTGTCAAACAAAGGGGCGACTCGGAGAGGACTGACCAACATAAAATGGAAAGCTCAGCCGAGAATGTAGTTGGGCGGTTGTCAAACCAAGGTCATCATCAACAATCGAACTACATGCCTTTTGCGAACAACCCACCCGCTTCACCAGCTGCAAATGGATATTGCTATCCTCCTCAGCCTCCTCCTTCAGGAAATCAGCAATGGTTGATCCCTGTAATGTCTCCTTCAGAAGGGCTGATATACAAGCCTCACACAGGTATGGGACACACGGGGCATTATGGAGGGTATTATGGTCATTATATGCCTACACCGATGGTAATGCCTCAATATCACCCCGGCATGGGATTCCCACCTCCTGGTAATGGCTACTTCCCTCCATATGGAATAATGCCCACCATGATGAACCCTTATTGTTCGGGCCAACTGCAACAGCAACAGCAACAGCAGCAGCAACAACAACAACAACAACAACAACAACAACAACAACAACAGCAATCCAATGAGCAAATGAACCAGTTTGGGCATCCCGGAAATCTGCAGAATACCCAACAACAGAGCTCTGTAGATGAAGCTGCTGCACAGCAACATCAACAGCCAACAAAGTCTTATCCACGGGCTAGAAAGAGCAGGCAAGGGAGCACGGGAAGCAGTCCAAGTGGCCCACAGGGAATCTGTAGTAGCAAGTCATTTCGGCCATTCTTAGCCGTTGATGAGGATAGCAACATCAACAACGCACCTGAGCAAATGATGACAACAACCACAACGACGACAAGAACAACTGTTACTCAGACAACAAGAGATGGGGGAGGAGTGACGAGAGTGATAAAGGTGGTACCTCACAATGCGAAGCTCGCGAGTGAGAATGCTGCCAGGATTTTTCAGTCAATACAAGAAGAGCGTAAACGCTATGACTCCTTCTCTAAGCCTTAATCCTCTCTGTCCGTATTGTACTCAATATGTATTTTACAAAAGTAGAAAATTTGTGATAGATGTTATCCTCAATATATGTACCATGTAAACGTATTATGGTGTAAGCCTCATTTGTATGTGTTAAATGTCTTAAAGCCTTGAAATCACTGGAACAGTTAAAGATTATTTGAAACAACTACTTACAATCACTGTGTCTTTGTTTGTGACATCAAGAACTTAAGCATACCATATTTACAACATCTTGTGTACATAGGAAGGATTATAATTGGTAAGGAAATTGGTAGTAAGATATATACACAGATGTCATTAATGGAGATCGAGTCGGGGTACAAATATTGGACACAGATGACGATCAAGCACTGAATCCGCGGTTAAGAGAGCTCCACGGAGTGGCAGGGATGGTGGGACAAGCCTGCATTGCTGCCTCCTCCATCTCCCCTATCTGAATTCCTGCGTTGCATATGTTTGCAATCGATCTCATGTGCTTTATTCCGTACTGAGACAACGATCCACAGTGCCTCTCGAAAGCTCTCACCTAAAAGCCACATAAAGGAGAAGAAGAAAGTGATCATCACGAGAGCTTAATCATTCAATAAGGACTGAATGTCAGATTTTCTCTGACATATCATATGGTATCTAACGTCCTGGCCAATAATAGAGTGTTGAACTGCATTACACTATCTTTGTTCCATTTTTCTTGGGGTATTAGACTGTGTATGATGTGATTCTTTGACCATCTAAAGCCATTGTTTAATACTAACCATATAGAGTTGATCCAAACCTTGATGCAACAATTTTAAATAGCCAAGTTTCAAGAAGAGGCAAAAGGGTACCAGCGATTTAAGGCAGTCCCAATCGTCAACAAGCGGTGTTCCAGAAGGCCGGACATTATTTAGTACCGCAGGACCGTCCAAACCAAACAAGAGTTTCCCAATTAATAGAACGCTATTATCGACATGAAGTCTGTGAGACATTGCTTCAAGGACTTGCTTCTGAGCTTCAACTTTTCTTGAAGAACCTTCTGGTGCCTTTCGATACTACATGGAACAATAACTTGACAGATTAAGTAACAGAGGCAATATCAAAATATTACAAGAGTCCTTAGATTTCACCAGGAAGCAAGGAGAGTAAGATAAACCTTATCCCAGAAATGGACAAGATCCGCGTCACGCTGATTTGTAACTCTTGAAGGCGGCCTTAGTGAATTCTCATTCACAAAGGTGAAGTTTTCATTGGCTGGGTTGGTACCCATATAAAGAACAAGCTTCTCCTTGCTGAGTCCTATATCTCCAAATTCCATGACATGAGAACCATAAGACTTACCAGAACCTGCTGTCCTCTTTTTCACCTGAAACAATAACATCGTTTCGATGCATGCTTACCGCAATCTCAATGAACGAACAGTTCTCACACGAAAAAGTTACAGAGCAAAACTTGAAGCTTACCAGTTCATATTGCTGGTGCAAAGTCTCTGTCTGTAAATTGTGTTTATCACTGTGCATTGAAAACAAAGAATAACAAAAAAAATTAGGATCCTATATAAAAGATACTCGACAAGAAAACGCCTACTCTTATTTTCATATTAAGAGCATACCTATCTTCCATCCAAGCAACACTATATAAGTCACCCAAACAGGTCTCATACTCGGAAGGCGGACTAGGATCCTCTCCGGGACAATAAGTACCCCAGCTACTTTCTACTGCATTCGATGCAGTTGTCGCATAAATGTTTAAACCCTCTGGTAAAAGGCCTTCAAAAATACTTCCTGACTCACAAGCCTCTAAATAAAACACCTGCATTCACGAAAGTGGGTCAAGCCAAATCACAGGTAGCTGATAAGAAAGCATTTTCAGAAGAATCTTGTGAATGTTACCAAGCTCTTATATGTTCCCGAAGCATGTTTTTTCTTCAAGACATCATTGAGATCGTTTGCATATAGGTACGGAGAAGTTGGCATCCCTAAAAATAAACATGGAGACTCAAATCATCAAACTTTTTATCAAAAATATAAAAATTTCAACTTCAACAAGATAGAGGAGAACTCACCGAGCACTCCCGGGCCACCGTGATCACTATAGTATATAAAGATATGATCGTTTGGACCGCTATCTACAACTTTCCCACTTCCTCCTTTAAGAGCTGTTTTATTTCCAAGGATCACAGCTAATAAGTTATCAACATTAACATCATCTCCAGTGTAATCCTGCCACAACCAAATCCCAACAAATCAAATCACAAAGCCATTTCAACGGTACATAATCGCAGCTAAAAATCGAAACAAAGCGGAAACAAAAACCTTGGGAACTCCATTATAGACATCCTCTCCATTAGGACTATTGATAATAACTCCAGGTCTTGGATTCTCTTCGTTCTTCGCAATATCATCATACATGAACACTACAATATTCTCCTCTTTCACTCCACCTTTCTTCAAAAGCTGATATGCATGACAAACATCCGCCTGAACAATTTATACAAACTCATTAGTTTCTACCAAACTATTGAAATTATAGTAAAAACGGGTAAAAATACGATGTTATCAACCCACATGCTCACAAAAAACTTCATTGTTTCAAAAAAGAAACACAACATCGATCAAAACTAAGATTGGACTATAACAAGAACTTGTTGCAATGATCAGCTGCAAATTCGCAAAATCCGAAAACCACACCGCAATTTCGTAACTCCAGATTTTCGATATGATCAAGAGTCAGATACCTGATGTCGATAATTCCAGTATCCGCTAGATCCGGCGACGAGAACAGCCCACCTAGTAGAATCATCGTCGTTTGCAGTTGGGCGGAAGAACTTGGAAGCTTGAGAAGGAAGTTTGATGACGTCACCGGAAACGGCGGCGACTAGATAGAGGAAGAGGGCTAGAAACGAGACGGCGACGGTGGTCATTGTTAGGTGATATTCTCCGGCGAAGAAGGTGACGTGGATAAGAATCTTCGGAAAGAAGAGGAGGCGGGGCCTGCTATTTATAAAATAACTATTCAATGAATCCTTCTGATGCCAACCTAACGTCTGCCCATTACTTGTTTTATCTATACACGCAAGTAAAATATAGATTTTTTTTTATTGTTATAGATATTCTATTTTAATTATAAGAAAAAAGTATTGGTTTAATTAAAGACATTTTTTTTTTTTGTAAAATATACAGCGTAGAATAAAAAATGTTTTTCAAAAAATTATGATATGTATATTAATGTCTTAAAAAGTTTATGATGTAAGAATTTTTTTTTGGTAAATTTTATTATTGTGTGAGTATAATCATTAAATAAATCTTTCGGAAAAAAGACAAACACGTGGCTAAAACATAAAAGAATAAAAGAGGGGTTACGAGGATTTTCTGACTTTCAAATCGGAAAATACGATGGAAATTGATTAAATAACATTGAATATGAAAAAGGTGTTTCAATGTGCTCAACTTAAATGAAATTATCTTAATTTAAACAAAAATATTTTTGACAAAATAACACGTTATATTTTTATATCAATATCTTTTTGCTTGATTCTAATAAAAACCTAAAACATTAGTTGTCATTTACCTAAACAAATTTTCGTCCTTGTCATTTGGCAAATTCACTTAATCCTTAAACTATAAAGTATTATTGATTGCTAGGCAATTCACGGTTGGGGAAACATAAGATCCTTCATCTTTTAAAGAAGAAAAATGGATGCTGTTTGGTTTCATTGTGAAAACTGAAAAAGGTAAAGTAAAAAGGCATTAGTTTGGGCTTTTGGGCATTAATCATGCATATGTTTTGCCTTTTTTGTGTAGTGTAACGTAAATGTCACTGTAAAGCAATCAGACTTAATTCGTTCACTCAATGATCCTTTTCCCTAAATCGTTATAATTATGTGTATCTTTGTTTTACTAGCTGAAAAATGAGTTAGTTACGAAACATAAATTATAAATTTTGACGATTTTGACAAGTTTTTTTAGGAATTTTTCTTAAACAAAATTAAAAGCATTTGACGATTTGGTTGGAGAAATCCTTAAAAGAAAAACAGATCTTGTTTTTTATTTCCAAGTTAAATTAGTCTGGATATTTTTATGACAACAACAAAGTTCATGTATTTTTTGGCAAATATTAAATAAGTCGGGGATTTTTTTAGGAATTTTTCTGTAAATAAAATTAACAGCGTTTGACGATTTGGATAACGCTGTTAACGGCCGTTACGGCGAAGGGAGGAAATCGAAAAAAAAATTAGTTAGTATTTTTTATTTCCAACCCATATTAATTTGTGTATTGTTCTGGCAACGAAAAAAGTTTAGATAGTTTTCTGGCAAATATTAAATAAGTGGGGCTTTTTTTAGGGAATTTTCCCCAATATATATTGGTAATATAATTGCTTGTCAACAATGGGCCGAGTTAGTAGTGAGATGGGCCGAGCCCCTTCGTTTTGTAGCTGTGACCAATTATATTAATCTCCAACAAAGTATAAAAGATTTATAAAGGTATGTGTTAAATTTAAGATATGTGAAGTATGATTTTCCGAAGTTAATGTACTAATCAAAATCAATATTTCATTTGGAAAAAAAATGATTAGTCTGACTCTGAAAAATGAGGACTGTAGCTCCTTCGAACCAAGGAAACTACGCAAATGTCCAAACTTTGCTGTTCGTAATCAGTGTTTTTTTTTGGGTCTATGTTTAAGGGGTTTTCGCTTGTGTTTTCTTTCTGTTTTCTGTTTGTATTGTCTTGTGCTATAATTTCTGGTTGTTTTCTATAGCTTTTGGTTTTTTTTTTCTGCTTGTTTTTTCTGTAACTTCTGTCAAAATTTTCAAAAATGGTATAAAATAGGAAAATTGGAAACAAAGGATAAATGATTAAATATTTGTCTATATATGCATTCTATGAACAAATATCAACTATTCCTAAACTACCTTTTGCATTAGATTGAACCAATTGTTTCAAAAACAACTAAGAAAAAATTGTAAAAAAATGATGAAGAAGGCATGAGGATATATAAAATGTCAAAAATATGTCGTTTTGTTCACGTTTTAGATGGATAAAATTTGATCTATAAAGTTTAGAATACGCCTTCTGAAATTAGAATGTATATTCTATACACTCTACATGTTTTACAAAATTTAGATTATGTATTCTACACATTCTACATCTTCTACAAATTTAGAAGTAATTTATGTTCTACGGTATGTAGATTACTTATTTCTACGAATTTTAGAATATATATTCTATACTTTGTTCTTTGTTCTATGAAAATTAGAATATGTTTTCTAACATTTACTCATGTTCTAAGAATGTTAGAAAACATATTCTTTTGATTTTTCTTATATTCTATAAAAATAAAAAGTACATTCTATCTAATTTAGAATTTCTTAAAATAAATAAAAATTAAAAAATCTTAAAATATGGAAATCGAATATAGTGGATTTGATTACGTCTGCAAACTGCAGAAGTTGAATTCTGAATACTTTAGTATTCTTTATACCTTAGTGAATAAATTATAACACAAAGTAGAATTTTTCTTTATATTCCACATTTTTACCTATAGATTACACTCAATTTCTTGTTCCAAAACCCGGAAAATTATAGTTGCGCTCCATTAGGAAATTGAAATCAAAGGGAGGGAGATAGAGAGAGAGAGAGAGATTGAAGAAGAAGAAAGAAAAGAGTTATTTAGTTTGCAGTTATTAGAGAGGAGAGAACAATTATGAAAGCTCAACTTTGGTAAACAAGAGAATCGAAGAAGAAGAAGAAGATATGAAATTATCGGTGGCAAAACACATAACGGAAAGTAAATAAATGTTAATTTTGTTCTATATTTTCTCCAAATTGTTTTTAGAAAGAAATCAAATTAACTTTGAAAATTGTTTATAGTTTAGTAAAACTAAAAAAAAGAGATAATTGGGTGAGAGACGTTACTTTTTTGGGTATTTAAATTTGAGATAATTGGGTGAGAGACAACCGATCTGAATCAAATTAAATTTTCGGTATTATGTTTTGAAGGCCAAAGACAATGATAATTTTAGCTCCTTTTTCTGCCAAAAATAACCTTATGCGCCTCTCCATTTGTTGTTCACGAGATCAATACGTTGTGCATGGATGTCCAAAATCTTTTATAGATTATGTATGTATCTTGTAAGCTGTCTTCTTCTTATGCTGGCGTTGATTTAATATCCGATTAAAAAAGAGATATCTATTTTGTAAGCAGTAAACAATTCAGAGTTGCTTTCCCAGTTATTTACGGACATAGAAGAATTTGTTGGGATAGAGTTAACCAATACTTCAAACTCAACACTAATCGTGTTGATATTATGATGAATTTCTTTAAGTTCCGATGACAATTTAACAAAATCTAATGAAAATAGGATGATAATTCGACGAAATCTGGTTAAGATTCGGTGATAATTCGAAGAAATCTGGTGAAAACTCGACGTAACCGGATAAAAATCCATCGAAAATTCGAATTTTATGATTTCATGCAATGATTTTTTAGTGTCCAATTACGATGCACTATTCACTTGTTCTGTTCAACGGGTTGGGATAGGGTGGTTGTAATAATGTTTATGTAGCGTGCATATGAGTATACAAATGTTAATAACGCTCTATATACGCGTTTACATGTATACAAATGTTAATAACGCGCGATATATGTGTTTACATATATATAAATGTTAATAACGCTTTATATATATGTGCTTATATGCATACAAATGTTAATAATGTCTAATATACATGTTTAAACATGTTTACATGCATACAAATTTTAATAACGCTCTATATATATCTATTTACATGTATATATAGATCCGATAACTTAACACTATAATTATTTTTAGCGCTTCATATATGTGTTTACTTGTATATTTTTTTGCAACACAGCTGCATGCCTATTTATTGGGTGTCTATTCCATTAGGTTAGTACTTTAAAATTTCAAATTCTCGCCCAACAAGTTGCGTTATAGATTCAAAATTAAGAGATTCGAAGACAGTCTGTCAGTTTGCATTTAATACAAGTCTCCTCCTTCTTTCTATTGCTGCGTAAATGTCACTTCTACAACAGAGCATTTAATAACTGTCATTTCATTTTTTTCCCTCCTCAAAAGTCAATGGCGCTATCACACGCGCATAGTCTCTGTAACTAACTGGTTTTCTTGTAATTCTTTTAAAATTGAGGACTATTGATAAAGCCTGATTTTTTGTTTGTCTGGGACCAAATTACCTATTACCGATTAGCTAATTATATGTCCCATTTTCACCTCTGCACAAATTCACTCTTTAAATTTTCGGTTTTAGGTCATATGACCCAAGACATTGATAATAATTAGCCATCTTTTTTTCCGATTTTAGCCCCACGCGTCTCTCTCATTTATGCAAACTATCAGCCCAATTATGCTAGACAATTGTCTTGTTTTATGCTATTTTCGAAGTTATAATGTGTGTCTTTGTATTCTGACTCTTGTGTGTCAACCTCTCTCTTCTGCATCAATCCATCAGTTTTATTTTTATTTTCTTTCAATCACTATATCTATTCTCTGGCGACGTTTATTTTCTCGCCGTTGTTTCTATTTCTCGCAGTCACCAAGAATTTTCATCTTCTTTTACGGTACGAAGTTGGTTCTTGTAAGAGTTGGTCGGTTTAGTTCCATCTGCGTTTTTCCGGAGTTTTCTTGTGTCTAAAGGAATCTTAGGTCGATTTTATTTGTTTTTGTGCTCCTAGTCACCGTCGTTGGTTTTAAATCTACAGTTTCTCCGTCGTTTGCAAAAAAACCCGGCCATTCTATATTAGTCGTTTCTTCTTCCCAGATCCACTTAGTTCTTTACGTATTTTTTAAATTCGGTTTGGACATTCATAAATCAGCATAGATCTATACTTTTCGTGTTGGACATTCACAAATGAGCATAGATCTATACTGTCGTGTTTGCATGTTCATAATTTTTGTTGTGGGTCCAATAACTAACAAAGATCTTTACTTTTTTTCGTCAGGACCATGGCGGATCTAGACCTTCCCGCTAGATTATTCGCCGATCGAGAAGAACCTGTGGGTGAGTGTGTTAACTAGTACTTCAAGCTACACATGATTAAAGCTGTCTTGAAGGTTTTACAACCGACAGAGCTTGAATTGATTCGGCCGTGTTTTGGGAAATTGCTCGATTCACACCGCCATTGTTTGTTTATCGGAAAAGATAACTTTCACGCTACAAATAAGGATGTAAAACATTTTTTGGATCTTCACAAATAGATCTACAAAGTATAGCTGCAGATCTCATGTTCATCTCTCTCTCAACTCTGTTCTAATTCATTCAAACCGATAAAAAAACAGCGTCGTGTTTGTTATTCACACTGTCATTGTTTATTCATCGGAAAATATAACTTTCACGATACAAATCAGGATCTAAAACATTTTTTAGATCTTCACAAATAGATCTACAAAGTATAGATGCAGATCTAAGGATATTTGTGGAGATGGGTGAAGATTTAGATAAATAAAATATAAAACCAAAACAAGAAATTTTAGAGTGAAAAGGAAGAAGACGATGGAGCATAGCCTATGCATAAAATCAATCAAAACATGCTTTTTTCCTGGGAAAAAAAAATTGAATTTCATATAAAATTCTCAATTATTTAATGAATTTATTATAAATTTAGATACATGTTCACCTACTTTCATAGAGTCATATATCGAACTATAAGTGCTACATTTATTAATATATATCTATGTGATTAGGTTAGTGGTTTAAATTTTCTAATTTTCGTCCATATGTTTTTGTTATAGATTCAAATGTGGGTGTCTAAATACATTTTCTATTGGACATGCACAGCTAAACTTCGGTGGTGGGCCACGTAAAGATCATTTATTAGTTCAACTGGTTGGCATTTATGAATTGTCAGAATGTTATTTCACTTACTCATAAGGCCGTGTTGGTACCGCCCACGCGCATACATTTCACTAGCTCTGTTTTTTCTGTAATAATTATGTCAACCGGACTCATTTTCACCAATTATTATTCTCTTGTTAGAGACAAACCAACCATAATGTTGAATTCCTAATTTATGTTCCCAATTTTTATTCTGCGCTAATTCACCCAAAAAAAAAACTAGGGACATATTGAAATTTTAATTATATTCAAGCATAGATGACCAATATTAAAACATATATGACTAATCATGAATATAGAATGTATAGATGGACAATAGTTTAATTATTTTTGCTTTATATCCAATTTCCCCTAAAATATGATTTAGATCAAAAACACCCAATCAAAACGCTGCGTTGTCACCAACAAATACGTCGTCGTTTATAGTCGGAATCTTTTTGACGGCTATAGTTTTTTTGCGGAACAAATTCTCAGGGGCTCCTCAAGCTCCAAATTTTGTCTCAAATACTCCTCAATGGTAGAAAGACAAAATTACCCTTAATGAGGGTTGATTTCGGGTGATAAAGGTTAAATACAATTAAATCGGTAAGTGTTCAACGAAAAACACAATAGCTCAGTGGTTGCGAGCTCCATGCGCGCCCCCAGGGTTCGAACCCTTTTATACGGGTTGTAACTGGTACAACTAGGGAATATTAGGGTACAACTAGGAGGAGGTACAACTAAGGTCTGGTACAACTAGGAGGTGGTACAACTAGGTGGTACAACTAGGTGGTACAACTAGGAGGTGGTACAACTAGGATACCAGTTGTACCACGTATACCTAGTAAAGGGTACAACTAGGAGGTAGTACAACTAGGATACCAGTTGTACCACGTATACCTAGTAAAGGGGTAGTTTCGTCCTTTCATTAAAAGGAGGAGAGTATGTGGATTAGAGGAGAGTATCTAGATTAATTCTTTGACTCTGAGGAGCAATTGAGATTAGTCTCCTTTTTTTGCCAACCTTCTTCTGCATTGATCTTAACTCTTAAGTTTCTCGAAATTTCTTGGCGAAAAATCCGATTTGGTAAAATGTCGTGTACGCATGATCACAACTGCGAAGATCATGAGTGTTCTTCCGATTGGTCTCTCTACAAACACATTGATCTCTCCAAGGTCTCTCTCTCTTTTCTACAATCACTTACCTCTTCGCTTTTTTTGCTCAAATAATGTCTAAAATCTTCAAGTATCACCTTTAATTTGTAATTAGTTTAGTGAATCCAAAACAATTAGATTCTAATAGAAAATTCCTCAGAAATTGGATGATCCTAATCCAGTCCTTATGTGTTCTTAATTTTGAGGTGTTTTAGATACAGAAACTATAAGAGTTTAGGTTACTGTGTGAATCAGTGTGCTAAATTGTATAACTTGGTCTCAGGTTTCTGCTCTGAATGAATCTGTTTCCGGAAGTGCAAAATCAGTCTTCAAAGCATGGGAAGAGAGATTACAATCTTCTGGGGTACTTTCAATTCTCACCATAACTTTTATGTTTTGCTTCTTGTTAGTTTTATGGTAGATGATAACCTTAAAGATTGTTGAAGAGGACATGATTATACCAAAATCTGGCTTGTAGGCTAGTAGGGCAACCCAAGCTAATACGCCACTACCGTTCTTGCGAGGTGAAGCACTAGGCAACCCTTATATGATGCCATAAGAACTAAGTCCCTACCAGGGCCTTCTTGAAGCTCACATAAAAAAAAAAAGAATAGCTTTTAGGATTAGAGAGCATATTTCTAAGTCATCAACCAATAATATGCTTGGCTGATGAATGATCCTTACTCGATTACTATGATTATATGCAGTGAAATTATTTATAGCTGTGTGCATGATAATGTCTAAAGGAAATGTTTTTTTTTTTCTTGCCTACAGGGGCATTTGGAGAGCAATGAGGGAGATCCTGAATTGCTTGTTTTTGTACCGTATGTCAGTTATTTGTTGTTCCTCTTTAAAACTGGCATTTTGTTTTTCACACGACCGTGGCTGAATACACCGTTTGGCGTTTTCACAATCATTTACCGACCTGTGACTTAAAATTTCTTCTAATATTATTGGTTTGCATATAGCAATATAGTTTATAGAGATCATTGACTTGAAAGAAGCTTGAGAGAACTAGATACAGTCCATGTTTTCTTACTATGAAATTGTTTAGTACTTTTTGGATGGCTGCTCATTTATGTCTGTCCATTATTGTAGATTCACATCAGACGTCAAGATCAAGAGCATATCAATTGTTGGTGGCCCTGAAGGAACAAGTCCTTCTAAGTTGAGAGTGTATGTTTTAAACTACCCTACAAAACTTTTGCTGTATGCATTTGTGAATTCTGCATACGGTTTCTTCAATAGGGAAAGACAGAAAGACAGAAAGCTGATTGTTGTCTCAAAACTAGGTTTATCAATCGCGAAGGTATTGACTTCTCAGATGCTGAGAGTATGCAAGCTGTTCAGGTATTCCCTTGTGAGTATTTTGCATACTGAAATGCCAAAGACAAATGAACTAATTCAGATATATTTGTGACTTCTTTGAAGGAATGGGAGTTAGCTGAAAATTTGCAAGGAGTCTTAGAATACCAGACCAGGTATTTCGCTACACATAACGTTTACTGGATTGTAATAGACTCTGCAGACTTTATGTAATGAATCTTAAGAAGTCTGTATGAATCGCGCATTTTCTATCAAAAGTTAGATGTCTGATACATTGAGAGTGCGTAATGTGATTAGGTATTCAAAATTCCAGAGTGTTGGAAACATTACATTGCATTTCCCTGAGAGCTTTGGAGGTGACACAACTCAAATACGCTATATCGGGTTCAAAGGTGAAGCAACCCAGGTATGTTTGCATACAAATGCTGCAACTATATATCATGTGGTATGGTACTTTGTTAATTCTTAACCTTGGCGGTGTTAACAGTTGAAAAGGGATGTTGTTGCGACAATCGTATATGAGATTAGACCAAATCCTTCAGATCACAAGTAAGTCTGAATCTCAACCAAATTACTCTTTTCTTCCGTATATGAAGATCCCTTCAGTTACAAACTCTTTTTGTTTGGTAGGACAAAAGCTGAGACTGGTGGAGGGTTTTCACAAGTTGAGTGAAGGAAGACACTATCTGCTCCCAACTTCACTCCTTAGCCTTCTCACATACTCATGTTTTCTCCTTAACAAGCTTAAACCTATATTGACAAACATATGTATGAAATAAAGTGAGAGACTTGTTTGTGGAAACATCTCTATGCTTAAACCCACATGAGATCTTTCATAACTTTTATTATGAACTTTGGTTTAAGCCTAATCCACCTTATAAGTTTTACCAACTACATTCTTCCACATTTTCCAAAGTGATATTCTTGTAGTTTTCTATTGCTGCCAGAGTTAAACAAAATTGAAAAGTCCTTTCTTTTGGTTGTCTTGTGGCAAATCTATAAATTTCAGTTGGAAAGCTAATTTTTGATTTTGGGTAAATTTTGAAATCAATGTAAGAAGAAGACACAGTAACCCACACATAAACATTAACCATTATCTTTAATATAAAGAGAACGTTAAAAGAACTAAAATGTGAAAGACAAACATTAAGAAATCCTCAAGAAAAAGATAAAGAGCATGGAAGCCTGTATTGTATAACAGCTGAAATTTATCCATAAACATATCAACTTTTTGGGGATGCTTTGGGTGGTCCAGCAGGTGGAGCAGCACTCTGTGAAGCCGGTGTACCGCCACCACCACCAGCGGCAGCTCCAGCAGACCCGTCTGAAGAGTAACCTCCACCAGCAGCAGGTTGTGTGTATCCTCCATAAGACCCATATGCCTGTGGTGCTTGACCATACCCATACGCTGGAGGTTGTCCATATCCTGACGCTGCTGGTTGGGCATACCCAGACTGACTACCATAGCTCCCGGGAGCACCTGGAGACTGCTGGCTCTGGCCATAAGCTGGTGGCTTTGAAGACGGTGGTGGTGCTCCATACCCAGAACTGTAAGCTGCTGGTGGCTGGCTGCTGTAACCAGCCTGAGAAGTTGGAGCAGCTCCATACCCTGCCTGACCAGTACTACCTTGAGCAGGCGGCTGTTGACCAGTTGTACCATACCCAGCCTGTCCAGACTGAGCGGACGATGGTGGAGCGGCTTGAGATGTATCTTCCTCTTGACTTGGATTAGTGGTGCTGCCGTAACCACCCTGTTGATCATACCCAGCAGCTTGACCATATCCTGATTGCTGAGAGGCATTGTAAGCTCCATACCCATCTTGCTGGTATCCCTGACCAGCTTGGCCATAACCAGAAGCATGCTGGTAGTAATTGTACCCTGTGGTATCTGTCGGTGGGGCTGAGCTACCACCACTGCTTGGTTGCTGTGACTGTTGTTGACCGTAATAATCATACTCACCTTGCGCACTCTGCTGGGATGGTGGCACAGAGGATTGATCCCAGGTGGAGGAGTAACCACCTGAAGTTTGCTGAGGGTAACTCCCGTAAGGTGATTGACCATACTGAGGTGGACCTGGATATGCTCCCGGTTGCATGTAACCACCATAACCAGGTTGTGCTGGTGGAGCACCAGGTGGTGCCCAGCTTGATGGTGGGCGGGCTTGATAACCACCTTGTTGTGGATACCCTCCGCCCATTGCTGAGTTTCTCATACGGTTCTGCATAAAACAAATCGTTAAAATAAAAGGCTTAGGTAACTTTTTTACAGGGAAATAAAACAAGGACACAGCATAAAAACTCACGAACACAGAGGCAGAGACATATAAAGCGGAAAACAAAGACTAGATTGAGAGGCATACACGTCATTTACCAATATCAGTCCAAATAGGATCAACCAAGATCATATCATATTCTATAAGGGTAATGGTGATGCCTACATACCGTACTGATTGGTGAAATTATTGGGTTACTCCTGCAGAAGCCCATCCCTTTCCCTATTCGAGATAAATGGGTGCAAGAAAAACCAAGGATACTATAGAAGCTTTTGCAGAAAAAAGCAACATATATATACAACATGAAACCTATTTTCTCAAAGGCAAAGTTTATGCAGCAAAATAACCTAATACCAACTAAAGAGTGCTGTTTTCAACAATATCAATACTCATAAAAGTATATTAGCAGACACAAGCTGGGGTATAAACTCTCTGGAGTAAATAATGGCTGAAGGGTTCAAAGAGAAACAAATTTAGGATAATTGGGGAAAGCAGACAAGGCAGAATAAAAACAGTTACTTGGTTAGCAAAATATTGACACAACAAAATGGCTAATAGGTCTTCAAATGTCAGTCGCCCACCTTCGGTGTTACCTTGATGATTGAATCTAGAAGGGATAGCCGAACGGAAGTGATTTTTTGACCAAAAAAAAAATAATGGAACACAATATAACAAAAACAGTAGTGCATTTATTGTATAGAACAGTTTAGAAATACTATCACAGCAGGTTGGACTGAAACTAGTCAGCAACCACACAAAGGCTACCCAAACCATTGTAGGATTGGCCACCTTGGCTGTGACCAGAAGCGATGAAAATGTCTGCATATACTCCATAAAAATAGACAACAAGATTTCTACTATGAAAATACCATTTGAAAAGTGAATATGCTAAGAATATTTCTTGGTAGCAATACAAGTCATGAAGAATCATGCTAAGCACATTGTAAATTGGATTATCAAGAGGATGAAAAGTAGATATAAGCAAAGGCCGATAAAAAACTGTCACAATAAGATAGTAACAGAAGCATGAAACTCGTGTAGGAAGGTTGCGGCAAAAAATGAGTATGAGCAGAGGAAGAAAAAGCAACATATAATCTTACAACTTCAATAACAATGTAAGGTATATCAAGATGGAATATTTTTTGTAAGTTAAGAAAATCACAAAAAATATCTTCGCGTGGTTTAACATAAAATAAAGAACCTTTCCCCTGCATATAAGCGGAAAGAAGAACAATGCAATCCATTGTAGATGCAGTTATCGTGGAGCAAATACCAAAGGAAATGAAGGCATACGCAGGAGTATAAGTTTTAGCAGCTGATACATTGACAAAGTGAAACCAGTATAACCTACATCACCTATTATCTGAATAGTATAGTATGACGTCTACATATTAAGGGAAGCACTAGATAAATCTAAAGCTAATGACAACTAAATAATGTAATCACAACACAATATCAATTTCAGGTAGAAAAATAGACACTGCAGAAGCCTGCCACAATCCATAAACAAACACAACAATCAAACATACCTCGCCACTGATGATTTCATTAACTAATTGTTTAGCATGTTCAATCTGCTCGGTTATCCCATCAATCTGCAAAGTTCGTTCTGGCGTTGGGTCTCCAGGGGGCAAATGCAAAGGAATAACCTGCAGACAAATAACCACGGGATGAATAAGATTTCACTAACTGGAGACAAACAGAAGCTGAACAATTGACAAAAATACAAACCTGAATTCGAGCTCCAGTCTTAGCTTGCATAGATTTGATTGTCTCACCTCCTTTACCAATTATCAGACCAACCTAGAACAGTTTATGTATTACATACAAGATACAGGTTACAGTAATCGGTCAATCTCCAGAGCATTAAGTACCTTATTATTCGGAATTTTCATAACAAACTGATCAGCTCCTGCTTGTCCACCCATCCTACGGCCGCCTCCACCCGAACCAGCTGTATTACCTGCCTCAGCCTGAACCAAAATAATCAAATACAGCATTAGTAATCTAATTCAATCACCTTAAAACACTATGATTAGCAACAAAGAGTAGTACTACCTCTTGAAGAACGTCAGTGATCAACTGCTCAGCCTTTGAAATCTGGTCAGGCGTGCCGGTTAGGTCAACAGTCCTCGTAGCAGCATTAGGGTCTGCGTCCATATCTCTAGTAACCTGAATCTTAGCTCCAGACTGAAGTTGAAGATACTTAATAGTCTCTCCACCTTTACCAATGATAACACCAACTCTCATATTCGGAATATCAATCTTCTTAGTAGTTCCTTGAAAGCTACCATACGAAACCGGTATCGAAGACGGAGGCGTCCCTGACATCTGCTTACCCTCTAAAATCAAAGATCAAATCACAAGTTTAATTCCAAACCCTAATTCCATAAACACAACAAGTTTAAGAGATTTCGAGAACGAACCAGAAGGATATGAGCTAAACCCTTTATTATCACCATAATCATAAGAAGCACCATTCTCAACACGAGGACGTTTAGCATCAGCACTATTAAGAAGACGAGCAGCGATTTCTTGTGCTTTTTGTTTAGCAATCTGGATTTCATCCATCGGAGGAGGAACGCTGTTGTAAGAAGACGGTGGAGGAACGGCGGTTGCGGTGAGATCAGGTGAAGCAGATGGGATCGGACCTGAAGAGAAACCGGTGGGTCTGCGAGTTGATGGAGGAGGAGCGGTTTGTTCTTCGTATTTGCGTTTGTTGGAGTAAGTGTCAGATGAGTATTGAGATTCGTCCGCCATGGTTGAAGAGCTTTGTGGATTTGAGAGAAACCCTAGAAAGAGGCGGAGAGATAAGGAAGAAGAAAAAAACACTGAGAGGTATAAAGATTATTTATATATGCGGACAAAAACCTTGCTGTTATTATATACAGATATTTTTCCCTTTTTTACCACTTATATCCTTTTTACTTTTGTTAACTTTTTAACATTTTTTTTCTTTACACAATTTAGGTTTAGAACTTGATCGGTTTTCCTATAAGTTTCCGCAAATACTACGTTTGCATGTGGTTACATTTTCTACTGTTTAAAACTAACTACAAAAATTCTTTTATACCGTTCTGAAATCTGAACTATTCGAAATTACTAAAACTTTAAAAATTTTCTTCTTATAAACGTTTTTGATTGCAGATGGCTAAAAAAAATATCACATAAATAACATAAAAATTTATATTATTATCAAATTTTATATATATTCAAATTAATTCTCAAACACTAATTATTCTCTCACCTTAATCTTCCAATATAAATAATCATTTGTACTTTACTATAAATTTATTTGTAGGGGTAAATGGGTATTGGGTCCGGGTTCGAATAGGACATGATCAGGTCCGGGCAGTGCCGGCCCAGATAAATATGAGGTCCAGTACAAAACAATTTTTTTTTTTTGGGGTTTTATCGATAAAAATTAAAACTTGAGATCAACTCTTAAAACTTCAAAAAAATGAGGCCTATTTTTGCAATAATAAATAGATAAAATTTAAAATTTGAGATGAAATCTAAAACTTTCGAAAAACTGAGGCCTACTTATGCAATAACAAAAACATTTTGGGGCATAATTTTATTACTAAAAATCTTCAAAATTTTTGAGGTCCAATACCCATGTATCTTGGGAATGGATCGTGGGCCGGGCCTGGGTCCGGGTCAACGTGTAATTGAATTTAAGACCCAATAGGATAATTATAAAAACTTGGGTCAGGTTCGGTTCGTTTCGGGTGCTGTAGGAATTTGGTCGGTTCGGATTTAGTTTTTCAAAACCCAAAAATTACTCAAAATAACGGGTATCCAAAAAACTTTTAAAAATGGTTAAATTTAAATAAAGTTGGTTATAGTTGAATAAATTTGGCTAAATTTTGCTAAATATAACAAATAATTATTTGATATTTTGGTTATTTAGGGTATTTAGGTCTAAAACCAATTGATATATCTATACTAGTATTTTTGAAGTACATTTGTTAGCGGGTGGGTTAAATTGTTATCCAACAAATTTGGTATGCGATCCGATAAAAAATTTCCTTCATAAATCTTACACCGCATATTTCATATCGTTTTTGGATCGGGTCAAAACATATCCGAAATTATGAATCGGATATTCCTTAATTAAAAATATATATATTTAGAAGATTTGATTAAGATTTAGAAATATAATTCTCATATCATCTTTGTTTTAACAATTTTTAACTGTTTTGCATAATTATATAATACATAAAGTAAAAACAAATCTCAATTTTTTTCTTCATATATTGGGATTTGAAATTTTTAAAACAGATATATATATATTATCCAATTGATGAAAAAGGTGTATGTTCAACGTCTCATATGGGCTAAAATGTAGATATTGATTCAGAATCATATTATAAATAAGATAAAATAAATCCAAATCCGAATGAACAAGAAGCTCAACTTAATAAGCATCCAAATTAAAATTATATATCGTTTCATTCGATTTTTTAAGTTTAACTTCTTAATTTTAGCAGAAATATTAAATTTTAAACTTTTATGAAGTTTTTAATAATATAATTCATATAATTAAAATCAATAAAATGTTTATAATATTATGAACATTTGAACATATATAAAAAGTTACAATAACACAAGACGTGTTATATTGTTAAACGAGGTTATATAATGGGACGAGTTATTAAGAAGTTTTAAATATTATAATTCATATATTTAAAATTAATAAAAAAATTATAATATTAAGAACATTTGAACACATATAAAGAGTTAAAATAACATGGGACGGTTATATTGGTGGACGGGGTCATATTTTAGGACGTGATTATATGACGGGACAAGTTTGAATAAAAAAAAAAAAAACATTATTAACCCGCTGCTTCAATACGGATCAAATTTCATTTTATTATTTTTTAACACCACCAATATTAGAGATATGTAATGATCTTGATTAAAATAAAATTATATAAAACAAAAAAAAAGTTTTGGTATACCATTACTTAATAACAATTGTAAACTATAAAATATAAATGTCTTATAAAATGATACAATTTACAAATATTTCTATATAATTTATAACCGTTAAATTTTAGAAATTACGAATTAAAAAAAATAACGTCTCGCGGTGTACCGCGGGTTAAAATCTAGTTCGGATTTATAATTGTAACTAATATTTTCACCATGCTACGCATGACTGCACATTCAAGAAAGCAATTATATTTTATTAAACTAATAACATAATAATTTAAATAAGATATATTTGTAGTACTAAACATATGTTCTTTAGAGGGTTATTAATTTATTATCTGTAAAACAGAAAAGAAATTTAAAAATTGTTATATATAGAAGAAGCCATAGATTTAGCATTGAAGAAAAAAAAATCAAGGTGTATGTTGATGATCCGAAAGTAAACACAAATAAATATCATTACAATTCTATGACATGAAGGAACAAAAGACAAACTTGAGCCTTGGTCTTGATCTAGACATGGATTCTTCTCGTTTTCCTTCATGGTCCGAGCTTCTTAGGTTCGGTTCGTTGCTTTATAAATTCACCATATTTTCCTTTTTTGTTTGTTTTTCTTCTTATTGTCTTCTACACATATGTGCTTTAATGTAAACCACTAATTCTTGTTTATAGCAAAATCACCACAGCAAATAAAAAAGTTTTTCTTTATAAATTCACCACATTTACCTTTTTTTTTTTTTTTTTTTTCTTCTTATTGTCTTCTACACACATGTGCTTTAATGTAAACTACTAATTCTCGTTTATTGCAAAATCCCCACAACAAATAAAAAAGTTACAATGTGGTTTGAAGCTAAATAAATATAAACATACAGAAATGTTTGTGTACCTTTTCAAATAACTTCCATATCGAGAATTACTCTAGATTATCTTTGGAAAAATCCCACGTCCAGGAAATTAGAACTCTGATCTTCCATTCTTTCTTTGAAAAATTTAGATGTGAAATATGAGTATAATCTAGAGGCATCTTCAAACTGAATTGACAAAAAAAAAAACTAATATAAGTTAAAGAGAAAATGAATGAATATGAATAAAGTTTAAGTATTTACATGAAGATTTTTTATTCTAGGTTTCAATGGCAAACATAAGAAAAAAACTAGGAGATGAAAAAACAACTATGAAGAGGAATGCAGAGAAAGATCGAATAGAGAGGAAACTGAATTCATTGGAGTTAAATAGAAGATGAATCAGTTACAAACCAGCTTGAACGTGGAGGTGTGGGAGTAAAATTAGGAATATAGATTTTTTTATAGTTTTCTTAGAACTCTCTGGAATGATATTTAGAATAAAAAGAAAATAAAAACTGTAAAAAAAACCTATTTGTTCTAAGGTTTAGACCCAAAACTATTGGCTTATAATTATACTAGCATTAAGGCCTGTGCCTTGCACAAGCAAAATTTAAAATTGATTTTTTTTTTGGGCAAAAAGCTAATTAATTTTATCTTAACAATGTGCTCTTGCTAAAATTTATTTGTCAAACAGATCCAAAAAATACTGTAATAAATAATATATATATATATATATATATATATATGTTAAAGTAAAATAAAGTAAAGAAACTTACATCGATTCTCTTTCTCATGTTGTTAATTAGAGGAAGCACCGAACAAATTCTTGAAGGTGGGATCCTTTTAGTTGTTACACATGTAGCGAAGAGAGAGGGCCAATGACAAATAGCAATCAGTACAGAATTTAATATTAAGAACTTGATTGTTATCTCTAAACTTACCTTTGAACTAGATTTTAACCCGCGGTACACCGCGGGATGATTTAATTTTAAAGTTAGTATAAAAATATTTTGTAAATTGTATCTCCTTATAACATATTTATTTATATTATAGTTTACAATTGTTATTAAGTAACGGTATACCACGAGTCCACGAGACAATTATCAATAAACTGAGGATTTAACCCGTATTAAAGCGGTATATAAATATTGATTCAAATTCGTCCGCCATATAAATCCTTTCCGAAATATAACTCGTTCCGTAATTTCTTAACCCGTCCCGTGATTTGTTTTTATTTTAAAATTTAATGATTATTTATTATATATAAAAGTTTACAAATCATATCATTCTCTAAGACATTTGATATTTTAATAAACTGAAAATTTAATATGTATTAAAGCGGCATGTTAATGATATTTAAAATTTTATAAATATTGTTATTAAGTAACATTATACCACGGGACAATTTTTGGTTTTATACAATCTTTTCTAAATGAGACTGATTTAATATGTCTAATATTGGTGGTATTAAAAAAAATAAGATTAAATCCGTATTGAAGCGGAGAATTAATGATATTTTAATCTTTTTATTATTGTTGATTCAAAAACCCGTCCCGCCAAACCCGTCCGGCCAAAAAACTCATTTATTTTATTAATGTTGATCTTATTTATGATATGATTCTGAATCATTGTCTAAATATTTTAATCGATGTAGAACGTTGAACACACATTTTCATCAATTAGATAATATATGTCCGTTTTTAAAATTTCGAATCACAGTATATGCAGAAAAAAAATTGATTTTTTTTTTACTTTATGTATTATATGATGATTCAAAACAGTTAAAAACAAATCAAACAAAGATGATAGGAGAATCATAATTCTAAATCTTAATCAAATCTTCTAAATATCTAAATTATTAAATATGGAATATCCGGTGTATGAGTTGGGTTAAATATAACCCGACCCAACAAATTTTTTGTGAAGGATTTTAAAAAACGGGTCGGATATCCGATTAATCCAGAAGCATTTTTACCCACCCGTCACCAAAGTGTTGCAAAAATACTAGTATAGATATGTTGTAGGCTATGTCCATGACTCGTTT